GATGCTTGTGTATTCATAGTGATTATCAATTTAATCTTGTTTTATCATCTGCCACCAGTTTTAGTTGTATACTTGCAGCCTGTAACATACACTTGAAAGTAAGCTGTATCTTACCCCTCTTGTTTCCTTCAGGTTGGTGATGGAACTACCACAGTGGTGCTTCTTGCTGCTGAGTTCCTGAAAGAAGCAAAACCTTACATTGAGGACGGAGTACATCCGCATAGTCTAATTCGCAGTTATAGGACTGCTGGCCATTTGGTTAGGATGCTTGCCTTTCTTCTCCTCTCTATACACCCTCCCACTTGCTCCATTCCTTTCTAACTCACATGAAATAATCATCAGGCAATTGAAAAGGTCAAAGACTTGGCCACTAGCATTGAAGGGAAAAGCCTTGAGGAAAAGAAGGAATTGCTAGCCAAGTGTGCTGCAACAACACTCTCATCAAAGTTGATAGGTGGCGAGAAAGAATTTTTTGCATCTATGGTTGTGGATGCTGTTCTTGCCATTAGCAATGATGACAGACTTAACCTTCTTGGAATAAAAAAGGTAATTTCTCAAGATATTGGTACACAGCTTTGTGTTAAATCATCGAGTGCATGATGACTATAGTACATTTGTACTGATCAAAAACCAGTTTCCATTCAATAGATGTTTAGCATCTAAATTTCATTATGAATCAGGATGTCTAAATTTTGTACTTATTAGGTTCCTGGAGGCACCATGAGAGATTCCTTCCTTGTTAACGGTGTTGCCTTCAAGAAGACATTTTCCTATGCTGGATTTGAGCAACAGCCAAAGAAGTTCTTGAGTCCAAAGATTCTTTTGCTGAACATAGAACTAGAATTGAAATCTGAGAAAGAAAATGCAGAAATCAGGTACTAGCACAATCCAAGCACTTGTAGTGTTATCTTGATCTGTATTCATATTTGCATGCACTCTCTGTTCTTCCCCTATTTCTTACTGTAGTCTCATTTATTTAGATTGTCTGACCCTTTACAATACCAATCAATCGTCGATGCTGAATGGAATATCATTTATGACAAGTTGGATAAATGTGTCAAAAGTGGGGCAAAGATAGTCCTTTCTCGGTTGGCAATTGGTGATCTTGCAACACAGGTATGCATTCTCGTTGCAACTCATCCTGTTCTCTCAATTAGTTTTTGTGTAGCACTGTAGCCTAAGCTCAAAAACTTTCTTTTATCCAGTATTTTGCAGACCGGGACATTTTCTGTGCTGGCCGTGTTGCAGAAGAGGATTTACAACGTGTTGCAGCAGCAACAGGTGGTACCGTTCAGACATCAGTGAATAATGTCATTGATGAGGTAATCATGTTTTCAAATTTTCATGTTTTGAGTCATAGTACACATGTTTGCATCGGTTAGCTATTTTGGCAACAAATAAGCACACTAATGTATGATGGTCCTTTCTGCTGAAAAGGTACTTGGTACTTGCGAAGTTTTCGAGGAAAGGCAAGTGGGCAATGAACGGTTCAATATATTTAGTGGTTGCCCTTCTGGTCAAACAGCAACCATAGTCCTTCGTGGTGGTGCAGATCAGGTGCTCTACAGCTATATATGATTTGCTAAGTTTTCCAACTAATCATGATATACTAATGCTGCTGTTAATGTTATCAGTTCATCGAGGAAGCAGAAAGGAGCCTCCACGATGCCATCATGATTGTTAGAAGAGCTCTTAAGAACTCAACAGTTGTACCTGGTGGTGGTGCTATTGATGTATGCATGACCAGCTTAAACTAAGCAGTGCAATTTTCCACGTATATTAATGTACTAATCTGTAATTTTTTTTGGGTATTAGATGGAAATAAGCAAGTACCTCAGACAGCATGCACGTACCATAGCTGGGAAGTCTCAATTCTTCGTAAACTCATTTGCTAAAGCCCTCGAGGTACATCCTTGGCTTCATTCTTCCCCATTGTTTATTCATAGTATGGAGTACTTTGTTTAATCCAACTTTTTTTATTTTTTTGCAATTGCTGGTTCCTTAAGGCTTTGTTATCACTTGTGCAATCAGAATAACAATTGAGCTTTGTTTGTGTGATGTGATTGTTGGGGAATTTAACTATGAATAATGCCTTCCATGCTGTAACTGTAACTGTAACTAAATTGCACTTATGTTGTTATGTTAATGTTGGGTATTTGGCGTTGCTAACCAGACCCTGAGTTCACTATAGAATATGTCCTCTTCTTTTGGAGAGTGTTGGATTAATAAATATTAGGTTCAGTTTTCAGCCCTGATGTGATCGACAAGGCATAATCTCTAGTAGCTTGTAGCATTAAAACAAACATTAATGTTCAGCCAGTCCTTGTGGTGAGCTACCGTTGGTTTCAATGGGAAGTTCTATTGTGTCTTTTGAGGTTATGTTCATCAAGCACTGCAGTTTTTGACTAGCACTAAAACGGCACTAAGCTTATGTTGGTTTTACACTTTTGCTCAATGTTGTTTCAAATCTTATAGATCAAAGCTTTGCAAGTATACAAATTTGCTCAGTTGAAATTAACTCTTCTACAGGTTATTCCAAGACAACTTTGTGACAATGCTGGATTTGATGCAACTGATGTACTCAATAAGCTCCGACAGAAACATGCATCTGGTTAGTTACCTGTATCTTAGGTTCAATAGTTAGTTTCTGTTGAAAAGTTTCAATTCATTCAAGCCAATGTGGAACTGTAACATTATATGAACTCATATGGTGAACTTCTCTTATTCTCGGTTCACTGTTAACAGGTGAAGGTGCTAATTTTGGTGTGGACATCAACACTGGTGGAATTGCTGATTCCTTTGCTAACTTTGTCTGGGAACCTGCTGTTGTGAAGGTAATGGTGCTTCTCCTTTTCAGTAACTCTTTAAATATCCCTATTGTTATGTTGATGGTATAAAATAAATATTTCCAGATCAATGCTATAAATGCTGCAACTGAAGCTGCTTGCCTTATTCTCAGCGTGGATGAGACAGTTAAAAATCCCAAGGTAAAGAAAGTACTATCGATTCTTCTCATCTGTCATAATAAAACCTGACCATCCTTCGCTTCTCTGCCAAATGCATCTAAATTCTCCGTTGGCCAGTATTATCTATTTTCCCCTTTGCCAATTGCGCCACACCGTGTGCTTGTTCTAGGAACATGACATTGTTTCCGCTTGTAACTTGAACAAGGAAAAAAAGATAGCCATGCCATCCTTTTGTGATGGGGTTCATTCTTCTACTTTTTCACTAATAATTGTTTAGTAACGTCATTTTAGACGTCTAAGTGAATCATACCTCAGGGTGTGTACATATGGTTTTAGGCAATACTGTAAAGTATGCTCTGTAAGCGAATGACAAATTTAAATACCTGAATCTCTTCTAGTTAATGAACTTACAATTTGTGGTATTATTCACCTTTTGTGATGCCACAGTGAAAAAGATGTTTCAGCCAGTCATTCATTTCCATCCTCACAATTTGGTGCAAGTTGCCGTATGCATATCGCTGCTACAATAGGCATCACTTCGTCTGACCGGGTTATCTTCTTTGCTGTAGTCTGAAAGTGCGCAAGGTGATGCGGCTGCTAGCGCGATGGCTGGCCGTGGCGGAGGAGCGATGCGGGGCCGTGGTGGAAGGGGCATGAGGAGGCGGTAATCAATCTACGCCACGTTTGTTTAGCTTCGTCGCTCGTGTGGTTTAAATTTAGGAGTAGGTTATTTGCAGTCTGCTCTTTATCGAAGTTTTTCGTGACGCTACATGCATGCCCTGCTCGATGTATTTCCAATTGTGCTTGTCAGATTCGTGAAAACATGGCAAATATTTTTGTGATGGTTGCCTACTAGCTTTTGTAACTTCACATGTTGACTGTTTCAATCAATGGGTATTCTTCTTGATCCTCACCACCTTTGCATAACTTGCATTTGGAAATTCACGTGGTATTCTCAGAGGCAGGACTAACACCTGCGGCGGCGTGCAGGTTGACACCGCTATTTTGTGTATAATGTTCGTAGTAGTTAAACATAATTATGCACACACAAAGTATGGATATAAGGTAGTGCCGGGCAATTTATGAGATCATGCATCTACTAGGCTTTTCTACGGTTCTAGGGGTACAAAACAAGAAATAAAGCAGGGCGTGAAGCCATCAAAACAGTGCGCATACCTTTGTACCGTATCATTGGCGCCATGGGTGCCACCAGTATGCCATCGAGCGGTACAGTAGTACATGTGGAAGTGTGGAACCATCGACTCGAGCTCAGAGCAATCGAGGATATGGGTACTTGGCATTGGGAGGCAGCATCCAATGCCAACACATCACACAGTATAATAAATGCTATCTTGTTTTGAAGCCTAAAAATTTCAGACATGCAACACAGCTTTCTGCCTAACTTTGTTACACAGAACAGAACACGACAATCAATCAGAACTCAGTTATGGATTATGACAAGGTTAATCACACAGGCCAAACAAGTTAACAACATCCCCCTCGTCGTTGCCTCGTTGCAGCCAAATCCACGCAGTCCCATCCACCGAGCCAGTTGCGACCCTCGCCGCAGCCGCAGCGGCGCCCGGCAACGTGCGCGTCGCGTCAGGCTGCAACCGCTGCTGCAGCAGCAGCAGAGGCGACGAGGCAACAGCCGACGGGGCGTGGCACTGTGGCAGTGTGTCACCATGCTGTCTCGCTGCTCCCACCCAACACAGGGCGTCAGTTGGGAGGAGTGGCACTGTGGCTGGCCAGTCATCCATCCATCCAGCCAGCCACAGCCAGTCATGGCCACCATGGACGGCACGGCAGCGAGGCCCCAGCGCCCTCACCAAATATGGCAGCAGCTGCATGCAGCGCCATTCATATCGCCACTCTCGCACTCACCTTTACTATCATCCCACTAGTTGCAGCAGATGTCGATAAATCGGAGTTTATGTTTTCTTGTGTTGTGTACCAAATGTTTTTGTGGCCCTTTGTGTTTTCAGCTGGACCTTGTATTTTTGTGGCTCAACGTGAAGAAAAGAGACAGAAAGAGAAGCGAAGATGAACGCCATGGACACATTTTTATGTGCTGCTTCGCATCTCGCCGATTTTTTTACAGGCTTTCAGCTTTCTCTTGTTCTTATGTTCACTCTCACTCATTGGGCCATGGCCACCGACATCATCATTAGCCATCAAAAGATGGGAGTAAAAAAAAAAACTACCAAGTGAGTAAAAAAAGGGAGAAAAATCTATGTCGAGGCGCCGCTGCCGCCGCCGCCGGCGCAGAAGGTTTCCCGGCGGAGGTCGCGGCCGCCGGGGACGACGAAGTGGGCGAGCGACCTGGTGCTGGTTTCCTCCACGCGATTCTCCTCGCAGAGGAACTCCCTCGAGCACGCCCTCTCCACCTCCCTCTCGTAGTCGTGCACCAGCACGTCCGTCTCCGCCCCCTTCTCCGCCCTCGACCTCGCCATCACCCCCGCCGTGAATATCGCCGACATCCTCCCCGGCGACGCCGCCGTGTACCTGCATCATTATCGGTGAGGAGAATCGATTGCAAGAAGAAGAAGAAGGATTAGATCTGTTTGGTTGTTACCCGCGAGGGCCGTCGACGAGGATGATGTCCCAGGCGACGTCGTAGAGCTGGTTGGGGAGGTCGTTGATAGCGAGGCGGCAGTCGGAGTAGAGGAGGTTCTGGACGGGGCGGCACTCGGCGGAGCGGGCGGCGCGGGCGGCGTCGAGGAGGTCGGGGAACTCGCGGACGGTGGTGGTGTAGACGACGTCGTAGGCCTCGAGGCCCGGGTGCCGCCCCTCCAGGTGGGACACGTAGTACTGGTTCTCGTCGAGGAACACGGTGCGGCCGCCGTGGTTGAGCGCCCGCCACAGCGGCGTCTCCCCGCCGAGCCCGAACACCAGGAAGTTGCACGGCGCCCGCCGCTTCACCACCGCCGCGATGGCGCGCACGTCGCCGCCCGGCATGCTCGCCGTCGAGTTCCCCCCCGCCGACGCGTACTGCACCAGCGCGTCGAACACGTACCCCGGCAACCCACCCCCACCTCCACCCGCACCGCCACCCCGCGCCGACACTGCGAGCGTCGCCGCCTGCGCCTCCGCCGCCGCCAGCCTCCTCGCGGCGACGGGCGGCGGCGGGTGGTCGCGCGCGGCGCACAGCATCGTGCCGAGCGACACGCAGGCGAACCCGGCCAAGAACAGCACCACCCACATCCGGCGGCGGGAGCCAAGGACCGCCATCGCCGGTGACGCGGCGCCACCCAGCGGCTTGTTCGACGACGGGTGGACCACCAGCAGCTTCGGCCCACTGAGCCCCTTCATCTCCGCAAGAAAACCGAGCTTGCCAAGAAGGCAATGGCGGTAGTTGGAGAGAGAGAGATACTAGTAGTAAATTGGAGTGGAGTGCTCCTAGCTAGTGAGAGTGTGAGAGAGTGAGAAGTGGATAGATATGGAGGTGGAGGTGGGGAGAGATGGGTGAAGTGGAGGAAGGGAGAGAAGAGGTGGAGGAGGAGAGGAGGAAGAAGAAGATGGGTTGGGTTGGGGTGGGTAGGTAAAAGGGCGAATTAATCCCGCCGGGATTTGCGGTGGCCGCTCTTCGTTTTCGTACGTGACTCTGCTGCGTTTTCTCTTCTTTTCTTTTCTTCTCCCTCTTCTTTTCTTCTCTTCTCCTGGGTTTGGCAAATTCGTAGACTCATTATCTCCGATTAATCAGGCTGAGGTGGTATTCGATTCTACTTAAAAATAAAAAATAAAGTTAGAAAAATAAAATAAGAAAGTCATTAGCATAAAATTAGTTGAGTTTTACTTATAGCAAACTTAAAAAATAAATTTATCTGATAGTTTAGATCAACTTCTATATAGGAATTTTTTTTTGCATGAAATGTGACCATTTTACTGTTTGATGACAAACGTGCTAATGAAACTAATGTAAAATATGCATCTCAATCGGACAAAAATGGGGCCTGAACTAAGCTGCCTGCCTGCTAATTAAACTATTTCAGATTTTTGTGGTTAAATAAAACATATGGGGGTATTTATTTCGATTTAAAAATGTAAACTTACAGATAAGTTAAGTTTTCAGTATTTCTTTTGTGTATCAAAAGATGGAAAGTTGTTACAGTTTGTAGCTTAGCTTTTGCTAATCTTTAATGTCAACGATCTTACCGCGGTTCCAAGCCCCAAGTCAACCAAATGTTAGTAGTATAATACAGGCAAGTCAGTTTGGTCGTATGATATTATTACTGTGGAGATCGCTGGTACTATAGTTAGTTCAATGGAAAAAGTGGATGAAGCCAAGACAAGCCATCGCTTTCTGTCGTCCTTTCGGGCCACGGTTGCACAATGTGATGAGTCACACGACCAAGCAGCTAAACTTAATCAATGCCAAACAATCAAAGGGGAAACCAGTGCAGCAGCATCATCGCTACAGGACGCAACAGCAGATTAATTGCCGCCTAAAAATCGTATCTTAAACCTCCTCCGTAAAGTAGAAATCTTTCTTTTGCCGGAATGACTGAAGGAGATCATTCAATATAATTAAGATAGAAGAAAAAAGGTTACAAGAAAAGTTTTACAAGGATGTGCACTAGAACACACGCCCTGAACGGTTGAACCATGTGCCAACCGTCCAAACACACGCTACAGAGAGGAAGCCAAGCACCGAACCGGCCATCGCTATGCGAGACCGATCGCCACCGAGCCAACAACATCACCACGACACGAAAACACAAAAACAACGCCCTCACGAGGGTCGCAACGGCGAAAGACGCAATCGTCATCCGTCCAAAGAACTGGACTAGTTTTCACCCAGTGCTCCTCGCCGAGGGAGGGGTACCTCAACAATGCCTTCAGGAGGGTTACCACGCCCGAAGGCGTAGTCACTGTTAGCCCAAAGGATTGGGCTAAGCTTTCACTCGGAACCCCTACCGCCGTGGTTCGTCGCCCAATCTAAGTCCACCATCTAAACATCGGCGGCACATGGCTTCCGCCACATCCGACCGACGCCCCTCCGCCGGCCAGTTTCTAGTCCTGCCAATGACAAGACTGCCACATGAATCTTCAAAAGAGAAAAACATAGGAAAACCTCAAAAGAGATGCTTGGTTACAACACATGAATAATACAGGAATAGTTATATGGATTCCGAATTTTCTTAAAGAAAAAAAAATCACAAACAGATGTTCGGTTGTAACATAGGAAAAACAGGGTTGCAACAGAATTCTTTTCAGAAAGTAGAGTTCTTTCTGAATCATGGGCGTTTTTGAAAGACAAGAATAGAAAAAACACAATGGAAGCGATATGGATTCCCAATTTCCCCCAAAGAAAAGAAATTAGTGTTTGGTTGCAGCAAAGAAAAAACATAAGATTGGAACAGAATAGAAATAATAGAAGAATGTTCATGAATCTAAACAAAGTCATTTTCTGAAGGAGCGGTAGTGCACCGTCATGCTATTTAGTGCCCTCCCTACGCGAGTCACTGTCAGATCGCCTCATTAAACGAGGTCATTATCTGAAGAAGCGAGCAAGGCAGCACTTCACCTCATCAGACATGGAACGTACCATCTCGCATGCTTTTGCTGTACAAATCAGCTTCAGATTGGCCGGGCAACCGCTAACCACTGGGCTAGGAAGGCTTAGGGTGGTTGCATTTGCATTGCTGCTCAAGATGAATCTACAAATTAGTAGCCAAAAAGATGGACGTAATAGGACAATTATATATCTCAAGTCAATCAGAGAAAAGGGCTTATGATATCACCTAAAGTCAGCAAGAAAGTTGTGAGCTATTATCAGATTTGGTGCCAAAAATGTTTGACAAAAATCTCCAAATCATGTGCCTTAAATGTTGTTAGATGGGGAGATGTTATCAGAATACGCTTGGAATTTAAGTCACGGACCTGACATGTCCAAGCCATCCATCTATATCCATCTCTGCATCCATCGCCTTTAATAAAGAGTTTAAGTGAAGCCTCGGGCAATGCAAGATGCAGAGAACACAAGATGCCAATGTGCACTCAGATGCCATGCCATCCTGATGAAATGAAGCATTTGATTTATTTTTCTTTTGGGGTCACTTATTTCTTTGCATGGATTCTTGTAGCATTGACATTAGTTTATCTGAACAATCTAGAATGAAACAATTGTAAGATAAGCTTAAGAGAGAGCAACAGACAGGAAGCACCTAAAGATTTGTTTTGTTGTTAGTTTACTCTAACCTAGAATGTTGTAGCATTGGTAATTAGTATACAGTACCTGTTGTAAATTATTCAGACAGAATCTTTGTACTATCAAAGCATCATTAGCAGCAGTTTGGCAAGTGTTGATTACATCTGAAGTCTGAAGGTGAAAGCATGGTCTTGGTCTCTTGACATTGACGAGCATAGTTTAAGGTGGCTTCCCAAGAATGTTTGCCACGCGGTGCCTGCAAACAAAAATGCTAATGTAATGTTGATGCTACTAGATTACCAGAAAATAAATTATTAGATGAGTGAGATTTGCAGGAGCTATAATAGAATCAAAAGCAAGCAGTAGCATCGAAAGCAAAGGTTCACCTTATTTTGAAGATCTGTTCCTGGATATCGCTACTGAAATCTTGTTGAAAGCTATGGGATAGTTTATGCCCTCGTATTCTGCATATCAATGCTCCTTTTTGGCATCCATTTGCTGCAGGTTGGCTTCAGAGGATGGATTAAAGCTTGAGCTAGCTCACCTGGAAGGCAAAAGGCAAACATCTGAGATGCTTCCATTTGACGAATGCTGGACCTTCTCAGACTAAATACGGTACAAAAGTATATAATTACTGTCTACAAGTTCACAGCCAAGTACAAACAGATTCCAACAGGTGCTAAACAGCCAGTAAGCTGCAAAACATAGCTGTCAGGGCGAATCAGTGATTCAGTGTTCGTTTTCCCTCAATTTTTTTAATTTCCCTATAAAAATTAAGTTTTCGTTGCAAGCCCTATCTACAGTGCTAAATTTTACAAGAAACAGTTGAGTTAGAGCAGTAACAGCATGCTAAAATGAAGCAAACAATGAGACTGATCACTGCAAACCATAATTGAAGTACTAGTATACCACATTGTTCCCACTACTCATACTGTCGCACTCGCACATCACCAGCACGTTGCAGTTGCTGCTGGACATCAGAAAGTTACTGTACATTTCAACTCTTTATTGAAGCTCTGTACTAGCTGGGGCACATCCCCCTCATGAATTGAAGACGGATCAGTACTACGATCCATCAAAATAGAGGTATTCTGAATTTATATTTCTACCCTCCCCACTAATGAATTGATGACCTCTGGAATTTTACTCAAGTTGATGGTGGGTGTGCAAGCGAGCACAAATAATTGACAACCGACCATGCTCTCGCAGAACTTTCAACTTAAAACTGGTAAAGAGTTCTAAACCTCAGTGCCCATAGCTTTCCTTGTTGATAAAGGGTATCACCTCTCGAGCAACTGCAAGTTATGACACTATCTCGAGAAAGAAAGATACAGTACAGCTGAGCAGAACCATCACTGTTAGATATAGCACTTTGTATTCGGATGGTAGGTCATCCTGCAAATAGCCAAAATGCACCAAGATGATGTTTCAGCGTTTACAGTAAAGGATAAGAGAAGCAGCTCCAGTGCATGCCTTTTTAGGTTCGCTTTCTGTTTCACATTGTTACACGCACCCAAAATATCCCCTATATGCCGAACAAATCAATCAATATGAGCAACTACTTTGCTTCCCAGTCACAGCTGTTATATACTATAATGTACTAGCGTAAAGAAGACAGTGCACCTGAAAGGCAGAGGTGTCATTTGAGCTCTGCATTTCGTTGGTTAGTCTAATAGTCTAAGGCAAATCAGATTAGCAAATGAGCTAGCATTGGATAAACGTACCAGAAAGGTAGATATACCCTTTCATTATGTACTTGAAACGCAGACAACAGTGAGAAGAAGCATCAACACCTGCCTGCAGGAGTCTCTACGGCCGTCGGCCTGATGAGGGCATACATCATCCATACAACCAAACCATCCGTATCAAACACATAATGTCATAATGATGTCCTTAAATATTGGACAGTCACCACCCATGGTACACTCATTAAGGTTTCCCAATGATAACCCCCAATTGGACCAGGCACCATGTTGTCATTAATGACCAAGTACAGTTAATTTGGCACCGAACCATTTGATCTTTCAAAAGTTACAACTAGTTTGATTGTTTGAAGTTTGAACATGATTACATGGGTATGCTGACTTCAACAGTAGCTAATGAACAGCCTAGAAAGTATAGGGTTGAAAAGAACCAGAAGGTAAGACAACTACACAGGTACAGCTTAAGTTACCAAACCCAATTACAAAATGTTATGGAACTGAAAGACCACCGATGCACCATAACCTAACATCATGAGCAAAACATTTCACTGAACAAAACATTGTGTCATCAGACTAAACAGCACTTGGAAGACCAGTCAGGAAACATCATGCTCCACTGCCAGTTGCGCTGTATGAGAAACAACTGCAGCCTCGTCTATCATATCTATTGGCGCTTATCCTGCTTACGCAGGCCCATCCGAGATTTGGCATATCTGATAGATGTTAAGGAGCTATATCAATAAGTTAAAAAGGCATGGTCAGGAAGTAGAGATCGCATTTAGCTTCTGCTATAAGCTCCAAATACACCCTGCAAGAAGAATTTGAAGAGAGATATAATAGCAGGAAATTTAAATAATCCCTAAATGTAGGATACTCTAAACGCATCCCCTCGCCAGTTGATGAATACAAAATAACTCCTTGGAGACGGTTTATGGCTTCAGTTGAACTGTCCATATCCTGCAGGCAGCAACTCCAGTTTGGGATTAACTTTGAAAATAAATTCAAACATATTGAAATCATCGGTAATGAAAATGCTTAAGGATCCACTCTATAGGAAAATGCAAGTACAGAAACAATAGTATCTTTCAAAACACATATCTCCATTGCATGTTAAATGTGGCAACAAACAAGAACCCCTAATTCGACTATCTTTACTGATGCCTGTGTATGCAGCAGTTGGTTGTCTGGTCTATAGAATTTATGGATACAAAAAACACTTACATAGAAAAAAAATACAGATATGACTTTGTTAATAATGTTCGCAACAGATTCCCGTGGTCACACCACAAATATTAGGGTTAACTAGTAAAATTTATCAAGAAATCATTTTTTTGATATCTGAAACACATGAAACAAAAGAATATAAACTAGATTTAACCTACAGAAAAGAATCAACTTTACAGACTGTCTGTCTCTGTAAGTGTATCATCATAGTTTCATGTTATCTCACCACTGATGAAATCAAGAGCGTTTATTTTCTTGTTTACTTTGTTTTGACTTCTACCCGATGTTTTCCTTTTTAACGAAAAGTGAAATGGGCATCCATTATCTGAAGATTTACCACAGATTTCAAAAGGCAGATAGCTCTCCACAATAGACCAACATAATAGCTAGAGACCTAGACAATTAATAATAAGCAGCAGAATAGTTTACTTGATATACCTTGAAATCCACAAATGCAACTGGAGCTCCAAACTTGTTTTGCATCTTCACCTTTATGAATCCCGCGCAACTAACCATGAGAAGAAACTTGTAAAAAAAATATGTTTATTTATTTATCTCACATCATGAATTGTTATATTGGAAATACCTTGAGAAAACATCTATTAGCTCTTGCTCAGAGCAAGTTGGACCAAGGTTAGCAACAAAGAGTGTAGGGCAAGGAGGATTGTTTTGAGGGGCAAATGCTGATGGGTCCTGCAGGTAAATGGACATGCAAAAGGGAGTAAGCATTACATACTCTCCAATAAGCCTAACAAAATATAGATATTTGATATTTAGCAACAACAGAAATCAATTGTGCTGTTTTCTGATCTTTTTATTTATGTAAAGTAAAACCATGGGTTACTTCATTTAGTTTTCCATCCAATAAGATCAGCTGTATAATATGGCTCACTCCATGAGTCAAGATCGAATGCCTTGTTCATAATGATCCCAATGAATCCGAGCCATTTATTCAATTGCACAATTAGTTGCTATATGCAACCAAACCAAGTTTGTAAAATAAGAATGAAAGAAGAAGGGAAGGCGATCCCTCAGAATATTACAGCCCAGCCACATAAAGCACACATAAATCAGAGAGAAAGGAGATGAGAAGATAGATGACCTGGTTCAGCCCAATATCCCACTTGAACCCAACATCTCACATAGCACACTATCTTCTAGCCCCGCAACTCCAACTTACAAGTCAACATGCGTCCACAATTCACAAAGTAGCCTCCACTGCCTCCCCTTCCTCCACAGCTGCACACACCTAGTCATCTCCTCAACCTCCTCTCATGCTCCCCTCTCCATAACCATCTCATGCGTCTGCTGCTGCTCCTCATCGTCAAGCAGATGAGCTGCAATGGTGGCAATGGTGGGACTGGCAACAAGCAACAAATTAATGGCCAACCACCAGCAATAGGCAGCAGTCTCTCCAAGGGCAACAACCCACACGCACAAAGATCCAGTGGCCAACCATCAGGTGCTCTCATGGAGAGTGGAAGCAGGTGTGCCCTGGTAGTGACCCATGATTTGAGATGCCTCATCAAGGTCATGGATCATGAGGGCAGCCCCCAATCCCTGTGGCTATACTTTGCAGTACCAGTTACGCCATTGAAGTCATTCGCTTTAGTCTTTTGTAACTCAATCGCACTTTATAATACTAGTTAAACTACCATTGTTGTGACTAAGTTAATAGATTTACCTACTATACAAGATTAATAGAATTCTACCTTGAAGATAATGTACTAGTAGTAAAACTCTGAAAGCAGAACTGACTTGTGGTACAATAATATTATAAATGTGCTAGCCCTCTTTTTTCCATATACAAATGGAATTAACTAAAACCATTCAAACAGCTTTGCAAATGTGATATATGTCATAAGATGGTAATAATATTAAGCTTTGCTGCAATTGTTCGTAGTTTCCAATTTTCCATCTCAGATACTGCAAACATTTATCAAACAACATATTTGTATAGAAATAAACCAACACTGATGCTAGACAAGGACAAATATATCAAGATGCACAAACAAAACTCACCTTGCTGAAAGCAGCAGGCTCAAAGTTCGTGTAACTGCAAGTTGAAAATGATCTTGATTAGAATTAAAATATTTCTAGGAGTAATATCAGCAATAGTATTGGATATCTCTTTTCTAACACCAGCTGCTGGACATCTTAAGCTGATTTTCCTAAAAAACACATAATTAAACTGTGCTCAAGTAGTGCGCCATAACCTTTGTGCAGAAGGATAACCATTCAAGCTGTGTGAAGAATTACCCATTCCAGACATGTGAATATTGCTTCCAGCACCTGATAGGGCGCAAAGTGTGCCAAAGATGTGCAAGGTGAGTGTTTTGCAAGAATGTTCATCAACGTGAGTGGATATGAAGTCATGGTTAGGATATGAACACAGAAAATTCTAGGAAAAAGTTATAGGAACTCAGGATCAACTGTATCCCTTAGTAGAGAGGGAAACCATTTTCATCAATCTGATGGATGTGGAAACTGTGGATTTGGAATGGTCTGCTATTGCTCATGTGACTACGATGGAACAGGTCCTAGTGGATAGATCAACATGGTGTATACAACGAACTGTTCAAAAAAATTGCAGGTACTAGCTCCTGTCAACTTGAATGATACCTGAATCAGGAAATCCCCTCGGATTTCTAGCTTTTTTCTCAGAGGAATAAGACGGAACATCATCTGTTGAAGTAAAAGGGTGCAATCAACAATACTGATACACAATAACCACAATATGTGGCAGTAGGAACAAAGATTGCAAGGTGCAGGCTAATCGCCCACCTGTTCTGGAGCGCTTTGATCTTGAATTAGATTTCGCAAGATCTACATGCAGTGTGCAATTATTCTCAAGGTCAAATATCCTTCCCTGCAGCAAGAAACAATCCACAGAAATGGCAACCATTGAGAACTCTAAACAGATTATTTATAGCTGTAACTTCTGATGTAGATAACCTCGTTAGGAGTAATGGTTTGTCAGAAAAGCATAACCTAATACTACTAGAAACCTGATAATGCTGAAGCGAGCTCTTACGTTTGTGGCACTCATTGCAGCTAAGGCAGAAGGTTGATCTGCAAAGACAGCGAACGCATATGCCTGCAACGCAGAAACAGTCAGGGTTTGTGCTACTCACCATACTGTTCGAGAGAAGGAATACGTACAAGTTTGCAAACCCAATTACCCTAGCACAGGGGAGATTGAAGGGTTGGGGGGTGAGGAGAGAAGAGTGGGGAAACCTGCGAGGATTTGCCGGAGGTGCGGAGGTGGGAGGAGACATAGCCGGGGAAGTCGCGGAAGAGGTTGTAGACCTCGCGGGCCTTGGCGTCGCCGGGGAGGCCCGCGATGAAGAGCGTGCGGAGCTCGTCGCGCGGCGGCAGTGGCTCCGCCGCGTGGTCGTAGTACGCGCCGACGTACGCGGGCGGCGGCGGCGGGTGAGGAGGGTAGGCGTGGTGGCGGTAGGAGGCGTACAGGGAGGTGCCCGGCGGCGGCGGCGGCGGCGGAGGCGGGGCCGCGTACGAGGAGTGCGGCGGCGGCGGGTTGTTGTAGTAGGACGCGGCCATGCGAGGCGGCGAGGCGGCGAGGAGAGGAGAGCGCGAGCGCGAGGGCGACGGCGGCGGAGGAGGAGGAGGCGGTGACGCGGGGGTGATGGGGACGCGGACGCGGTTTGGAGGATTCCGCCGCTCGTGCGGCCGACGGAGTTGGGGGTTGGGGGAGAAAATTGCATATCTACCATTGCATAAGATTGGCTTCGCAGAAATACATCACTTAAATCGGCTTCGCTAGAATACCACTCCCAACTAGAACGGCTTTGCCAAAATGACATTTTGGACAAAAATAACCCTGGTTCTTCTCCCTTCCTCCAATGCCAATGTTGGAGGAGCTCGTCGGCAGCCACCAGTGCCACCTTGTCGGCGACGATGGGGGCGCTGCCCTCCTCGTCGTCCCCACCTTTTCATCATGCCTGCCGCGCTAAGAGGAGGCCATAGCCGACGTCATCAACGTTGATGGGGCCAAACTCATCGGTGACGGAAGCGGAGCGGACGAACTCACCAGCGATAGGGGTGACGCGTTGAGGTGCGGCGGAAGAACTCGTTGAGGATGGGGGTGGTGTGTCGAGGCAACAGATGAACTCACTGGCAATGGGGATGATTCGTCGAACTCGTCGGCGACGGAGGCGGCGTGTCGCGGAGACTGAAGGCGTTGGGGGCCGCGAGGCTAGGTGAGGCGGACGAACTCGCCGGAGAAGACCACCGTCGTTCGCTCCTCATCTCACCTGCCGCTACCGCGCCGCGCACCATTGTCGTTTGCTCGTGCCGGAGGTGGAAGAGATAGATGCAGGGTCATTTTTGTCCAAAATGGCATTTTGGCGAAGCCGTTCTAGTTGGGAGTGGTATTCTAGCGAAGCCGATTTAAGTGATGGTATTTCTGCGAAGCCAATCTTATGCGATGGTAGATATGCAATTTTCTCGGGTTGGGGTGGTTTTCAATTTCGCCTTTCTCGGTGAGCACGACGGGTTGGAGTTGGAGTTGGGGTTGGGCGCTTGGCGTGGTGGCTAGCGTTTCGTGTCTATGGCACGACCCGTGTTGTGTGAATTTGTTATGGGTAATGATGCCTATTTAGGGAGGGGACATCCGGTTCTGACCGAAAATCGGTCTTGAACTTCAATCTTTCAGTCTTTAAAAAGTTAAATCGAATTTCAAAACAAAAATATCAGGACCGATAAATTCGGTCTCGGTCTCGGTCCTGACCGAAATTCAACAATAGTTCATATATGCAAAGAAATAATAGAAATTTTCAACACAAAAATCACAAAAAAAATTCGTAAGCACGTATGAATAAAGACTCTTATTAGGTTGCATGCCTAGAAGAAGTAGGGATGTGAAAACTATAGTTTAATCATATTGAACTCAGTGGATTGTAGGTTGCATTTAGACTTTTTTTTTGTTATTCGGTCTATTTGGTTAACCGAGGAGACTAACTGAATTGGCCGAACTGAAATTCGGTCTTTCATTGTCTGGACCGAATTTCTCGATCTCAGTCTTTTCGGTCTCAGTCTTGATCTTTTCGGTTTAGTCTTTTTCTGCCCACTCCTATGCCTATTGCCTTTCTTGAGTGTTTTGTTGCCATTGTTGTGTAAAGATTGGACTATGGATTTTATTTTTACAAAACTAACAAATTATTTTCTTGTGTAATATCTTATACATAATTGTAAATACATCACATACTACTAATTAAATCCCCAACCTTTGGATTGTATAGAGATTCATGGTTCAATCTTATTTTCGAATAAACTCTTCGGCGGATACGATAATGCAACAATGATATCTCTATTGGACTAGGTTTAGAATATTATTAAGAATTAGTGACTAATCGTCGCTACACATTTTTATTTATATAATTGAATCAAGTTTCACATGCACGCATGAGATAATGAGACGTATAATATTTTATATAAAGCACTGTTCACAAAAATGGTACTATAATATTTAGTGTGAACCATTGATCATAAAAGCAGACGATCAAAATTGTTGCGTAATCGCCATAAAGCATAAGAGATTTTAGATTTAAGGAACACCTCATATTACTACTAATGTCAACAGATGTTGTCTATCTAAAATCTATCGGAGGGAGTATATCCATTCAGTGCAATGGATCATTTTATATACGGGCATTTTATCGCAAGTACGATGTACGGGCATTTTATCGCATCTTCGTATCTTCATTTATATTTTTGGTGTAATACGTTGTTCTCAATGCAGGTCGCGTTGATTCGAGGAGGGCCACACGGCAATACGGCATACGGCCGGTCCCCCAGCACCAGTGCAGCGCACCACCGTGCGCCCGTGCGCCCGTGCACGCGGTTTCGCTCGCTCGCCGTTCCATCTCCTGCACGAAAAAGAAAAATGATTCCACGCGATCCCACGAGAGCGAGAGCAACCCAACCCAACCCGCGCCCGCCGTTGCGCCGAAGCGCGAGCCCCCACCGCCGTCACAGGGGAGAGACAGCGTCACAGTCACAGAGCCCTGAGACCGCAGTCCACCCGCGATTTGTTCATCTCGTTTCACTTCACACGCACACGCCTTTCCCCATCCCCCGCCTCCGCGCCCGCGCCCGCGCGCCCCCGTCCGCGTCTCGTCCCCGCCAACCATGCCGGCGCCGCGCGAGCGCGACTAGCGGCACGGCTCGCGTCGCGAGGGAAAGGAGGAGGAGGAGATGATGACGAAGCCGCCGCAGAGCCGAGGAGGGGGAGGCGGAGGCGGTGGCGCGCTGGGGCGGCGTGGCTTCGCGGCGCTGCTCGCGGCGGCCGTCATCGCGCTGGCGCTGCTCTGCCTCTTCTACGGCGCCGCCTTCGCCCCCACCCTCCGCTCCCGCCGCCTTCCTCTCCAGCGCCGGTTCGAGGCTGTCCCCGCCGACCTCGCGCTCTCCTCCCTCCCGGTCCGTGACCTCCCTCCCTCCCCCCGCCATTGTTCCGTACAACGCGAGTGACTGATGGCTTTGATTCGCTAACTCCGCGCATGGGGTTGGTTCAGGTGTGCGACGCGAGGTACTCGGAGCTGATCCCTTGCCTGGACCGTGGCCTCCACAACCAGCTCCGCCTCAGGCTCAACCTCTCCCTCATGCAGCACTACGAGCGCCACTGCCCACCCGCGCACCGCCGCCTCAACTGCCTCATCCCGCCACCCGCCGGCTACCGGGTGAGACAACATACATCCGATCCGACCATGGAGACCATACATGATATGATCGATGAATCCATCACTTGTTGTGCTGTGCATTGTTTGTTGTTTATTTGGTAAATGTTGGTGTGATGTTTCAATGTTCAGGTGCCCATCAGGTGGCCGAGGAGCCGGGACGAGGTGTGGAAGGCTAACATACCACACACCCACCTTGCCTCTGAGAAGTCCGATCAGCGGTGGATGGTGGTGAATGGTGACAAGATCAACTTCCCCGGTGGGGGTACCCACTTCCACACTGGTGCTGACAAGTACATTGTGCACCTTGCTCAGGTTCAGGATGATCTAACAGCTAATTACCATGTTTTGTTACCTTTGAATCCGATGACATCATTGTTGTTTGGTGTGGATGTGTGGTGCAGATGCTGAATTTTCCGAATGGTAAGCTAAACAATGGAGGGAACATCAGGAATGTGCTGGATGTTGGTTGTGGGGTTGCAAGCTTCGGAGCCTACCTTCTTCCTCTTGATATAATTGCAATGTCTCTTGCTCCTAACGATGTGCACGAGAACCAAATTCAGTTTGCCCTTGAGAGAGGAATTCCGTCAACCCTCGGTGTGCTGGGCACAAGGAGGCTGCCATACCCCAGCCACTCATTTGAGCTTGCGCACTGCTCTCGTTGTCGGATTGACTGGCTGCAGAGGGATGGGATCTTGTTGCTGGAAGTCGATAGGGTTTTGAGGCCTGGCGGGTATTTCGTATATTCATCGCCAGAAGCTTATGCTATGGATCCCATCAACCGGAACATATGGAGAAAGATGAGTGATCTTGCTCGAAGAATGTGTTGGCAGATTGCATCTAAGGAGGATCAGACAGTGATATGGATCAAACCATTGACTAATGAGTGCTATATGAAGAGAGAGCCAGGAACACTTCCAAATATGTGTGACCGTGATGATGATCCGGATGCTGCTTGGAATGTGCCCATGAAAGCATGTGTAACTCCTTACTCGGAAAGTAAGTTTATTTCCCTGATTTACCTCAAGATTGAATGAATAGTGAAAAGTATAGTGTACTACTATACTACCCCTTACTTTCTTATGGAATTTTGCTTGAATGCTATATCATCGGCTTTCCACAAAAGTTTGCTCATCACATGACACACTTAATGTTGGAGATTCAAATCATTAGTGATAATTTAGAAGGGTACCACGGTCAACCATTTATATCAAGAGAATAATCCACTGCCGAACCTTTAATACTTGGGCTGCGGGCTGCCCAGTTGCCAACCAATAGGCTTAAACCTGGATCATGCTTGCTAATCGCTATACGCTGTAGGCTTTGCTTATCCAGCCATTTATGGCCTCAACAGATTACACTTCTCTTTCATGTTCCTGGTCATAGCGGCGGTACCAGATCATAGTTGGCTATATACTGGTGATTGAAGAGCAGATGATAAGCTGAATTGTGCATGCTTAATTGGGGACATCTCTCGAGAATACCTCAAACTCGTTATTTGTAATTTTTAGTATAGCTTGGTATAGTATGTATTAAATGCTTTACCTCGTTATCTTTACCTAGAATCACTCAGTACTTTTCCAGTAACCAATTGTCTGTTATTGCATTTACTGAAGTATAGAATTCTGCTGTCTAGCTTGAGAACTACTGTTGTAATTTTGTTTGGTTCAAATATGTGTGTTATCTTGGTGCTGGAAATTTAATCAAGCAATTGTTAGTTACCTATTTTCTGTTAAAAGGAATTGTCAACTCCAGTCGTTGTCATATCCTTGATTTATCTGCTATCAAACATATGTTTTTCTAGCCAATTTAGCCTTGTTCTGATCTTGTCGTGTGCACTTCTCCAGGAGTCCACAAGGTTAAGGGCAGTAATCTGCTTCCCTGGCCGCAAAGGCTTACAGCACCACCCCCTCGTCTTGAAGAGCTCGGAATCAGTTCAAACAATTTTTCTGATGACAGTGTGAGCTATGCAACAAACCAATGATATTTTTTCATGCAATATGTGCTCACATCCTTTCTGATAGCTTCTTTAGTACCTGACTTTGAAGTACTCCTTGCAGGAGATTTGGCATTTTAGAGTTATTCAGTACTGGAAACTCATGAAATCTGAGATACAAAAGGATTCATTTAGAAATGTTATGGATATGAATGCAAATCTTGGTGGATTTGCAGCATCCCTGAGGAAAAAGGATGTCTGGGTGATGAATGTAGTTCCTTCCACAGAATCTGGAAAACTGAAGATCATCTATGATCGTGGTTTATTGGGGACCATCCATAATTGGTATGATATGTTTGCAAACCTTTTGTCCTAAATCCTTTAGATTTAGTTCAGTCCAGTTGTTTCAGTGTTGACTTTGCATAGCTAAAATTATTACGTTTTCATTGTCTGTGGCAGACAAATCCAATAGTTTTAATGCCTGGAATGCAATCAAAATATCAAAAAGTATTGAAGTATGTTGAGTATTGAAGAAAGAGACCAGTAATTTGATTATTGTTGACAAATGAAACCTATTGTCAAGCTGTTCTTTAGCAGCCAGCCTTAGAAATACCATATCTTTGTTAACAAAGCGCCATTATGTATCTTCCATTCATGTAGGGGATTACATTTTATCTAGACATAATTTGCATACGATTTTGTGGATTTCCATAGTAATGCAACAATTGAAGGGTGGTAGCTATTTATCACACGGTTTTAATAGTAGTTATAGTTCAGTTACCACATTAAAACATGTCGCTAGAGATGTTATCAAGTCATCATGATTGCACCTGAAGTTCTCGCCATGAGAAATCCCTCCAAATGACATGTGGTGCTCTTGTCATTAACTTATGTGACCAAGATGCTCTATTTACTAGTATTGCATAAAACTTAAAACCTTGGCCTATCTTCTATCTGGGCCCAGTGCTCCAGCATTGCTTAATTTCAGTGTCTACTTTCTATTGTTACTTCCTATTTCTACTAAAATGCCTTCCATATGCCTGATTGACTTTGCCATGATCACAGAAAACAATTTCTTATTGTTGTTGTATTGCAGTATTTGATGGTACCAACTACTATTTGCTACCTCAATTGTGGCATAATTTCTTTATTTTCTGTTTTCTTAATTGAAGGTGTGAGTCATTCTCAACATACCCACGCACCTATGATCTCGTTCACGCCTGGCTTCTTTTTTCTGAGATAGAGAAACAAGGGTGCAGTGTGGAGGATCTGCTGATTGAGATGGACCGCATCATGAGGCCTCAGGGGTATGCCATTATCAGAGACAAGGTTGCTGTCATCAACCACATCAAGAAGCTTTTGCCAGCGGTAAGATGGGACGACTGGTCATCTGATGTGAAACCCAAAAAAGACGCTCTCTGGTCCGGTGATGAAAGAGTCCTGATCGTGAGGAAAAAACTCTGGAATCAGACATTGTAGGCCTTGTAGCAAATACGCAAATCGTAGTTCCTGTTTTGACCTTAGTTAGCCAGCCCCTTCTAAATTGTGATAACCTGATCCTCATGTGTATTAAGCGACCGGTGATCAATGCTTAGCAGTAAGTACAATGTGAAAGCCATTCAAAATATGGAGTTTCACACGAAACCATGTGATACAACACTCGCTTGAATATAAAATTAGCCATAGCAGCATATAATCAAAATGTTCCTTTCACATCCATACCATTGTATAGATCATCAAAAAGATTATAAATGATGAAGTGACCGTATATTTGCCATTTGACAAAAAAAACACACCCTACAAATGCTCTATGAATTTTAAACTGTTGGATCGCTTTGAGATTCATGTAGTAACCCTCAAACCCTAACCCCCTCCTCTGCTCCCTTCTTATTCCCACCCCAATACCCCATTGCGACTTGCTCGATGCTCCTGCCTTCATCGCTCCACAGTGTCACTACCCACCCTCGGTCCGCCTTCTCCCTCTCCCTCTAGACCTCCTTTCCCCTTCTCCTCAAGCCGTTGGGACGCCCCTGGCTTGTAGCCACTCACTCTGCTTTGCTATTGACGCCAACATTGGCCCACTGCCTCGCTGCTGACCTCGTGGCTTTGTTGGCCTCACTGCTCACTTGTCCTGTCACCAACCAATGGTTTGCCGCCTCCCATGGACATTCCTCTTAGCCTAGGGAACTCTCCTCTCTCTCCTTGCCCCCACCCCCATCCCTAAACCCTAAATTGGGGGCCACTACTAATCACCAGAGTTCATTAGGGTCGTCAGAGCTGGAGAAGGAGTCTTAGCATAAAATCGGGAACCAAATCCAAGCAAGATTTTGGCCCTAAATTCCTATCAAATGCTATTTAGTAATGCCGATTATACAAGTCTATTGTGAGTGAGTGCGTACCCAACGACTCAGCGAACACATCACAACAGAACCCATGAAATCCAGATGAATTTGATTAAAAAAAATTAAAATTCAGTTTTTTTAAAGTTGACAAAAAAAAACACGAGTGGTTTGTGCTTGAGGTTCGACCTGGTTCAAAAAAAAAAGAAAAAAAATCGGGTTTCTGCGAAATCCGAACCAAATTTCACTGGAATTGCGAAAAGGCATGTTGGGCCGTAAGGCCGCAACCAGAAAATCTGGCCCAGGAAGCGCAGCGGAGCCAATCCAACGACACTCCCGTCACCGCCGACAGCGGCATGGCGGAGCTACGGCACGCCACGGCGGCGGCGGCGGCGACGCGCGCGTCGAGCTCGCCGGCCAAGCGCGACGCGGAGTCCTCCGCCTCGTCCTCCCCCTTCGTGGCCTCCTCCTCCTCCCCGCGCGGCGGCGGAGGCGGGGACGGCAAGGACGGGGCGCCCCGCTCGTCCGCTCCACTCCACCACCAGAAGTACCACCTCCCCTCCCCGCTCCGGTCACTCCTCGCGCTCGAGGATCCCAGGTCGCCGACCGCCTCGGCGTCCTACCGGATCCTGGTCGCCGTCGTCGCCTGCCTCTTCGTCGCCGCTCTCGTCTCCGCTCCTTCCGTCTGGTCACGCATCGTGAGCTCTTGATTCCTCCTCGATTGCTTCATTTCTATTGCTGTTCGATCAAGATCTCATCCAACTTCTTTGCTTACTATCATGTCGTTGTTGGAACGTAGAACGCGCCCTATCTGTGCCGCAAGGACGGGATTCGGCTCCACTGCCCCAGGGTAAAGTGACGTTGATCTCATAATGTATTTATGTATCTTGGATATCTATCTGTACGCAATTCGCTTTCAATATTGTTTTGGATGGCTTGGTGCTACTCTGCAGGTGAACGAGCGGGAATCTCTCTGGGAGAATCCGCATGCTGCAGCGGCATCTTGGAAGCCCTGCGCCGAGCGCCGTAGTGATGAGATCTCAGGCAAGAGCAGCATCTAATTGTCATTTGTCCCTGCCTCCCTGCAAATACTTACTCAAAGATAATCTGAATATACGTACTAGTTGGACCGCTAGATGTAGTTTAGTTGGCCCAAATGATTTTCCAGTGTCTGTAAGGAGAAATGAACAATGAATAACTTATTTCTCTAATGTTAAACTGATGATTTTAGCAACTATCCACCAAGATTGTTTATAAGAGCGCAGGCGAATTAGGCACCCAGAACGATGTACCTCCTGTTCTGTGATTGCATGCAATGTACCTATCTATTTCTCTCTGTTGATGCAAAAAATGACTACTTTAATCCTTACTAAGCCTCTCGTACCCACAAGACCTAAGCTTTCATTTATGATGTCCTGTGACTGCTCTTATAAGAGGCGCTTAACACTTCAGCATTTCACTGTGTATGCTTGTGCCTGTTTATGTTTGTCAATTTGTAGCTTACAGGAATTATTACAACATTCCTTTGAAAGTTGAAACCATGGTTAGATCCTGATGAATAAAGATATTTTTCTCTCTTCTGCTGTGCAGATCTTGTACCAGAGAATGAAACCTCTGGGTATATTTTTATTCATGCCGAGGGTGGATTAAACCAGCAGCGAATAGCCGTACGGATGTTCTTTCCTCACATTATTAGCTTGCTGAAGCTGTGTTGTGTAATCAGTAGTTAACTGCGATACTCGATGTATTTGCAGATATGTAATGCTGTTGCAATTGCTAAGATAATGAATGCCACACTTATTTTACCTGTGCTGAAGCAGGATCAAATCTGGAAAGATCAAACGTAAGTGATGAATTATGGTATTCTTTTTCTGTATCAACTCCTGCTTGCATACACCCTTTTGTGTCTATCATGTCTTTTAGGTACAAGTCCTTTAGTACTTGAGAGCTTTCGTCCTTTTATGCAGGAAATTTGAAGATATCTTTGATGTAGATTATTTCATAAATTACTTGAAGGATGATGTACGCATTGTTCGAGATATTCCTGAATGGTTCACAGAAAAAGATGAACTTTTCACCAGTATAAAGTTAGTTGCTTCCTTTTCACTTATTCCTTCTATCTTTTCTTTTATCAATCAATAAGATTGATGTGTGCACACACTCCTAGAACATATGAATTCTGGAGACAAGCAAACAAGGTGATTGCCGCTGCTTGTTTGCGGTTTGTAGTTGTCTTTCATTCACACATTGCATTGTCCACATATGTGATGCCACTATAGAGGCATCTACTTCAAACCATGTAGGGGTTAGCATGTATTATAGGGTCAAAATTAGCTTATTTTACTATAGGATGCCAACAGTCTTATACAACCGAAAAGTGCAAGGGCAAAGGAAAATTGTATCACTAGGACAGGTACTGCTTATGGGCATTTTTTTCCTTATTTATTCTTCCTTTTTTCCCCTCTTGTCATGATGTTGAATGATTATAATATGTTTCTATTTTGGTCATCACTATCTGCTGTGTTTTCACCCATAGTTAGCAGTTACTATATGTGCTATATCTATAATTGATTAACACTGGAACATAGTCTTCCATGAATGTAACTTATTTTATTTTTGATGCTGATTATAACAGGCGAACTGTGAAAAATATTCCAAAGTATGCATCGGCGCAGTTCTACATTGACAATGTACTTCCGAGGATCAAAGATAAAAAGATAATGTCTATCAAGCCATTTGTTGATAGGCTGGGGTAATGTCTTATCATCATGACTGCACCTCATCCATACATCTTGAGATTGGTTGTATAACTTTTTAGCGCTGTTACTGTCCTTGACATCAGAGTCTTTTGTTGTAAAGTGAATATTGCTCCCGGTTCCTCCCCTAAGTATATGCCTTACAATTTCGTTCACATCAATTGATGTGATTGAGTGTAACCTAAGCCTGCAATTTCAGGTATGATAATGTTCCAATGGAGATTAACCGGCTCAGATGCAGAGTTAATTACCATGCCTTGAAGTTTTTACCTGAAATCGAAGAAATGGCTGAGAAGCTAGCAACAAGGATGAGGAACCGAACGGGCAATGTAAATCCATACATGTAAGCTTAGCTCAGTGTCTCCTATTTAACCTACCTGTCGCTATCAGATTGAAATGTATCTTATACTCGGTTATACTTGCTTGTGTAGGGCTCTTCATCTTAGGTTTGAGAAAGGAATGGTGGGTCTTTCATTTTGCGATTTTGCGGGAACTAGAGAGGAGAAAGCAATGATGGCTGATTATAGACAGAAACAATGGCCAAGACGCTTCAAGGTAATCTGAATTTTTAGCTACCTGGAGAGTTGATGATGACATTGGCCTCAATATGAATAAGGTCACAGGATACAGTACATAATGTTTTTCTTCTCTTCTATTTGTATGCAGAATGGATCTCACCTTTGGTCATTAGCACTGGAGAAAAGAAAAGAAGGTCGCTGCCCTCTTGAGCCTGGGGAAATAGGTATTATTTTACGTGCAATGGGATATACAAAGGAAACTCAGATATATGTTGCATCCGGTCAAGTTTATGGTGGAAGCAATAGAATGGCTCCGCTAAGGAATATGTTCCCCAATTTGGTAAGTGCTTCAAAGTTTTTTTACCGGGAAAACATTTCAGTACTTTAGGTCTTTACTAGAAGGTTCAATTTATTGCATTCCGTGTTTCCTTTAATGTAGACATATTGCAAAATCTTTACTACGACTTATAAATGTTAGTAGTGTCATGTCTCTACACACTCATTACTTGACCGGATCTTTTATAGATGGATCTGCGTAAACACGAGCGTGCTCTTTGTAGAAACATTTGATGTTGCATTTAATTCTTTTGTGAATCATGCATGTGATTCATTGAATTAGAGAACGGTTATCTTTTATTTATGAGTAATTATGCAGGGCTAGAACTTATGCCATGTGTCTTCTATCATTGTTTGAGAACTGTTGCAACCCATGGGAAAATATACTAGTTGCATATAGTTTTGAATGTAGTCGAGATAGTCGAGATAGTTCTGACCAGCATAAAATCTGTTCAGACAATTGATCTGTTCTCTCCTCTCTCTGTTTTTTCGTTAATTATAGGTTACAAAAGAAGATCTTGCAAGCAAAGAGGAGATAGAACACTTCAAGAAGCATGTGACCAGCCTTGCTGCATTGGACTTCCTGGTTTGCCTGAAATCGGACGTGTTCGTCATGACCCACGGTGGCAATTTCGCCAAGCTGATCATCGGTTTCCGCCGCTACATGGGTCGGCATCGGCTCAAGTCTATCAAGCCAGACAAGGGCCTCATGTCCAAGTTCTTCGGCGATCCCTACATGCCATGGGCAACTTTCGTGGAGGATGTGATGATCACTCACCAGACACGAACTGGCCTCCCTGAGTCCACATTCCCACACTACGACCTCTGGGAAAACCCCCTTACGCCTTGCATGTGTAGAGCTTAAACTATAGACAGATATTGATTGTGCGTAGATATTCTTTGTTCATATACTGATTGTAAGTTTATATAGTTCTTTGTATCACATCCATTTTTCATTTTACCTGTTTTCTTAATTGTATCTTCTACCCTACAATGCACCAACTGTTTTTACTCATTTTTCATTCTTAAAATCCAACGACACATATTTGTCTGCATTAGATCGAATGGATGAGATTGCCTCCCCCTCCTCCGTGTTTCTGAATGGTTGTTGTGTTGAGAACACTGCCAAGCTGAGGACTCTTGTCTCATGATAAGGACTTTGCCGAGCCGAGGACTCTGTTTCTTGATCCATTCAAATGAACGTAAACTAAACTTCATATAGATCAAAGTTGTAGTGATATTCCTTTATTTAAAAACTCACTTTGTTGAGCTCCATTATTTGTTGGTAAATTGATGGACAAAATTTGTAAAAGCATTTGAGAATTTCATTGGATATTTTGTATACATGTTTGTTCCACTAAACCGGAGAGAGTAGTACTTAATTGTCCAATAATGAATAAAAAGAGAACATTCGATTACGCTTATAGGTCAAATATAAGGGCAAATGTTTTCCCCCCAAGCAACCAAATTAAACATATATAATATGTTGTTATCCTTTATTTTACCATTGCAAGCTTAGATTCCTGGCATAATACTAACATATAGTAATGTTTTTATATGTTCATTGTCGTTTGGCCCCCTCGTATGAATTTAGACATACCTCGGTTCAGATTCATTGTACTATTATATGTGTCTCATTTAGGTTGCGCTCTTTTCAGCTTATAGGATTAAATTCTACTCGTTTTCTGTTAGCATGTTTTTCAAACTGCTAAATGGTATATTTCGTGCGAAAACTTTCTATAAAGAAGTTGTTTAAAAAAATCCAACAAATTTATTCATAAAAAATATATATTAATACTTAATTAATCATATGCTAATCTCATTTCTCGTTTTACGTGTGGCTAATCAGTCCACCACACCTACTGAAACGAGCGCACCCTTAGTTTTAGGTTACTATATTTTGAGACAGCAGCATCAATGATCAATGGCTCCAGAACTCAAGCCTGCAAATTTTGGAGATGGATTTTAATATCTCGGGTGGATGTCCACCCATTTCTTGCATGCCACCTAAATGATTATGAAAAAATTCCAAAAAAAATTGTAAGATAGGTTAATATGTAATATATCATTTCATAAACATGAAAATTCAAATTTGACTTCTACAAGCTATAACAAAAATAACAAATTTAACTCTAACTAGTATATGTATATTCACAGTCAAATTTGTTATTTTTGTTACAGCTTGTAGAAGTCGAATTTGAACTTGCATGTTTGTGAGATGATATATTACATATTAACCTATCATGTCAATTTTTTAAAAAATTTTTTATAACCATTTAATATGTCCACCTGAGTGTTTAAAACAGTTTCCCTTCAAATTTTTTATAACCAGGTCCTTCCTAGCACTTGTCACTCCTCTCGAGAGTGAACTCCAAGCACTCGCCATGGAAGACATGGCGCACGGAGCACCCGGGCCACGCGACGAGGTCGGTCTCAAGCTGGAAGAAGCAAACGGGACACTCCTCTCCGGCGACCCCAGCCACCGCCCTCCTCCTCTTCTTCGCCGGCGGCGGCGCCCCGTCGCCCTCCTCCTCCGACAACACTTCGCCGGCGGTGGCGCCCCTGTCGCACAGCACCGGCTCCGGCAGGTTGAGGTCCAGGCCGACGTGGTGCCCCGGCCACGACCACGCCGCCGCCGCCTCGGCCTCCAGCTCGCGCCGCATGTACTCCATCCGGTCCGGCCTCTTGTCGAACGGCCGGAGGATGCCGACGGCGACGAGCACCTCCACGCGCGTGGCTCCCGGCGGGACGATGCTCGCCGGCGCCGCCATGATCAGGCTCGACCAAAGCTCCAGGAGCTCCCGCCTGAAGAAGTAGGGGTAGATCAGCGGCGCCAGCGACGAGCCGGCCCACGCCAGCGAGCTCGCCATGCCGGCGGCGGGGGAGACGACGAACCGGAGGCGGTTCAGCTTCGTCCTCCTCGACACCTCCACGCCCTTTCGCCCGCTCCACGTCCCCGAGTAGCGGGTGTAGCGGTAGAGCACCACGATCTCCTGGCCGCCGCCGCCGCCGTCGCCCTCGACGACGGCGACACGCATGAAGCCGGCGGCGCACCCGGCGGTGGCGAACCGCGCCGGGCCGAGGAACTCCCCTTCCGGGACGAACGGCGCCGGGACCAGCGGCAGCTCGCCTCTGGCCGCCGGCGCCTCGCCGTCCCTCGCCTTCGTCGGCTCGTCGGCCTCGTCGCCGCTCTCGTCGTCGTCGGTCAGCTCGTAGTCCACCACCGAGATGGCGGGCGCCTCCTCCTCCGCCGCCGCGGGTAGCGATCCGGCGGCGAGCTCGCTCGATCTCGATCTCTACAGGAGCTAGCTAGGGCGGGTGGCTTAATTCGAGCGCGCACTCGCTTTCCTTTTCGGTTCGGACACAAAGTGGATTCGGATTCATGGGGCCTTTTTAAGATGTGTTAATTAAGAATTTGTCGCTCGCTATCTATAACATGTAGACCCTTATGTGTGTATGACATGTGGGTCTGGCAAATCTTTTAGAACCACTTGTACAAGTGGCAAATAGTTGATTATTCCTTAAAGAATATATATACAATGTAGTCAGCACATCCATTACCATTATGATGCCTTATCCATAATAAATAAATACGGATGCGATTAGGGATCAGTACTGCCCGATCCTAGCCAAAACAGGCAATATATTTCGTCACTTGGTTAATTAAAGAAATGATTCAAGTTAACTTGATACTATATTCGTCTCAAAATATTGCTAGAATAGGTCAATTTCTATTCTTGGCAACGAATCTGGCTGGTGTCCAGATTCATTGCCCTAGGATAAGTAAAATCATATCCTAAATAGCAATATCTTGGAATGGAGGTGGTAAAAATTAGTAATTTCAAATAGATGCAACATTCATAAATACTCTTGCAATAAAAAAAAGTGCATGCAACATGAAAATTGACGGCAACATTCTGAAAATATTGTAACTAATACATGCAAAATCCAAACAAAACCAATTGCGATATTAAGAAGATATTGTGGGCAACATACTCTGTGATATGGCGCTTATAATGGCACCATAAACTCCACGTACGCCTCCGTGAGTCCAATGAGCTATTATGCCAATCAATGATGCATGCTCATCCGCTTATTGCCTCTGCTGGCCTCTCCTTCATCACCGTCGCCTGCTTCTTCACCTTCTCCCCCTCCCCCTACAGAAGTGAGGGACACCGCGATGGAGGCGATGCTTGTGGAAAGCCCCAACAAGGAGCTATCTACCCGCCACCCTCATTCTGTCTAGGACGGTTCTTAACTAGATCTCGTACCTCAATGTTGGGGTTAGCTAGATTTGGCCAAAGGACTAAAACAAATTGATAAGCCAAAGAGGGGAAAGGGAGGGAGGGAGGGGGCATTGCCAGGAGGAAGAAGGTGTGCAAGGAAAGGCTGGGGAGGGGTGCCCTAGGAGAAGCGGCATCATCGTCCCGAGGACTAGAGGTGGTGTTATCGTCTCGAGGAGGACAACTGGGAGCCGCCATCCTTTATCACCATTTCTACAAATGAGCGAGAGAGAAACGTGACCGATATGGAACATCCGATATTTCTCTTGGATGTCAGTGGTATGGTATGTAAAATAAATGTTGAGTGGTATGGTAGCGCGGGAAAGTGTTTTAAACTCTCAAGATAATGTTACTACACTCTACATTGCTAAATGACTTTAGATTTTCTTTTTCATAACCAAATATTAAATTTGAGAGAGAGGGAGTTATACGAGGAGACATCCCCTCAGAGGATAAATATCCTCTCCCTTTAGATGCTGCTAAACTGCTAATGATCCAAGTTGATTCTGTGGACGGCGTTTTCAGCTAAATGATGGCGCTTTCTTGAACATAAGAAAAGTACGGCTCAAACAATGACTTCTGAATTTTAACGACATATTTGTCGGAGATCTGAATACTGAAATTGCATATTGGCATCTTATTCTATATGTTTCAATTCTAAGTGGACACAAAGAACAAATCAAAATTTCAAGTAATGCTTCTGACATTGTTACTTGATTTGCTATAAGCCATAAGTGGAGAGTCATAATTGAATGCATGCATGATACAGTATACAAATAGCCAAGAATCTCTTATTACAATGGATTGCTTATACTTAGCATCGAACAGAACAGAAACAACATATATAGTATAATCCATGGAACAAATTTTACAGTGAACCATGTGTATGAACTCTGAAGAATGCTCCAGATTCACACAAGAAATCGATCGAATTGAAGGCTACAACTGCAGAACAATCAATCTGCTACTACAACCTACAATTCATTCATTCATTCTGTTTCAAATGCAAGTCTGCAACATCAGTCTACTCCTGCAAGGTTTTCAGGCCAAGATCACGCCTGCAGATAGGGCACATCTGGCTCCCCTTGAGAGTTGTCTCCAAGCATTGGCCATGGAAGACATGGGCGACAGAGCACCCAGGCCACGCCACGACGCCGTCCTCGAGCTCGTCCAGGCAGACGGGGCACTCCTCCCCGGCGTCGAACACCTTCCTCCGCTTCGCCGGCGGCGCTGGCGCGTCGTCGAACACCTCCTCGCTGCTGTCCCTCTTGCACGACGCCGCCGCCGCCACCACCGGCTCCGGCACGTGCAGCTCCATGCCGAGGAGCTTCCCCGGCCATGGCATCTCCTTCTTGGCCTCCAGCTCGGCGCGCATGTACTCCCTGCGCTCCGGCGTGTTGTCCCCCGCCCTGAGGATGCCCACGTCGACGATCACCTGGACGCGCGTGGCTACCGGCGGGACGCGCACCTGCGCCGCCAGCTTGGACCACAGCGTCTCGAGCTCCTCGACGTAGTCGTTGTGGTAGATCAGCGGGGACAGAGATAGCCCGGCGAATGGCAGCGAGCTCGCCGGGTCGCCGGAGGCCGGGACGATGAACCGGAGGCGGTGTATCTTCGACACCTTCGCCCACATGGACAGCTCCACGCCCGCCGGATCGCTCCATGCCCTCTTGAGGAGGGTGTAGCGGTAGAGCACGAGGATCTCTTGGCCGTCGGCCGGGTCCGCCTCGACGGCGGCGACCCGCATGAAGCCGGCGGCGCAGCCGTAGGCGGCGAACTGCGCCGACCCAAGAAACTGCCCTTCCGGCACGAACTGCGCGGCGCTCGCCACCGCCGGGTCAACCTCCTCGCCGTCGCCCTCGTCCTCGCTGCCGTCGCTGTCGTAGAACTCGTACTCGACCTCCTCCACGTCCGCCGCCTCTTCCTCGCCGTCGGCCTCGGCAATCTCCTCCTCCTCGCCGGCCTCCGTCTCGCCCTCATCATCCGAACCCATCACCTTCCACGGCGGCGGCGCATCCCCGGCGTACTCCTCCTCCTCCTCCTCGTCCTCGCACTCCTCCACCTCCTTCGGAACCGTCTCCCCGTCAACCATCACCGGCGGCACCGACACGGCCACCGACAGCGGCAGGCCGGCCTCGCAGGCGTTCTCCATCGCGGGCTGCTCGACGTGCGCAGCCGCGGCGGCGGCGGCGGCGGCGCGTAGGGTTCGCGGTGAGAGCAGCGGCGGGAAAGGGAAATAGGTTGGAAGAAGAAAGCAGAGCAGCGGCGGCGGCGCGAGATTTGTAGGGCTCGGACTAGGTCGGTCTGTCGGTGTCCGGGTCCGACTCGAACTTGGGCTCGCGAACGCGATATGATGGGTCGTGTCGGACTCGGAGTGGCGGCCTGGTGGGCCGCACCGACTTGCTGTTGCGTAATCGCGTACACGTACGAGTTTACTGTATACATAGACACGTCAGCACGTGCCTCATCAGCATATATCCATTGCCTTATCTACCAGGGACATTTAAAGTCCAAGGCGGGTTCAGTAAAAGACGTTTTCGATTAAGGATGGCGTATTTCGGGAGTCGGTAGAGGCGCATCAGCCGGAGCAACAGAGCCGCCATGGCCAGCCGCCGCCGTCGTCGCGGCGGCGCCGGCCGTCGTGGAGAACCATCCCGGAAGGGCGGTGAGGTCGCACTTTGACCAGCCTATCAGCTGGCAACAACACGTAGATGTTATTATCAGGCGACGATGCATCAGAGAGTTGAATCCGACAGAGTTGTTTCGGTAGTGCTTGCCTAGTTCGTAGAAGAGCTCGGTGACGTTCTGCGACGTCTTGGCCGAGGTCTCTATGAAGAAGAGGCCGTTTCGCTCTGCGTATTCCATCGCCTCCTGCGTTTTCAATAAGCAGAGACGATGAGAATTTTGGAGACGCCCTACAAAAGTTTCTGAATTTTGTCTTCAGATACAGAGATACTGAAAGTCTGAATTGCATTTTTACCTGCGTTCCAACCTGCCTCTTTTCTTCCAGGTCGACCTTGTTGCCCACTAATGCCATCACCAAATGTGGATTCCCTGTGTTTACACAGGTAGTAAGACTAAGAGAAAATCACAATTTGAACTAACACTTTTGCTTCTAATTTGCTACAGACCCATATGAATGATACTGAAACGGCAGTAGTACTATTGTCAGGCACTCAGGCATACCTTGTCTCTGGAGTTCGTCGACCCACTTCCTTGCTCGAATGTAAGAATCCTGTATGACACACAGATATGCATATCACTTAATCAGTTGCTGAAAATCTACCGATGTGATTATACTAATTGCTTAGCTGCAAATGAGCAAATCTACCATTTCTGCTGATGAGCCAGCAGGTGCGTAATCAGCTAGCATCTGAAGATCACTTGCTAGTTATTTTGATAATTACCGTGCTGGAGATGTCGTAGACGACGACAGCGGCGGCCGCGCCGCGGTAGTACATGGGCGCAAGGCTGTGGTAGCGTTCTTGGCCGGCGGTGTCCCAGATGTCAAGCTTCACGGTGGCCTCGTCCATGATCAGCACCTGCGAGAAGAACGCTGCCCCGATCGTCGACTCCTGAAAAGCATAAAATCTTCAGTCCGAAACTGAACTTGATGAGAATTTAAACAACAATTAAGCAGGTATTGTTTAATTGCCTGGCAATCGTAGTACAATCCTTTGGCAAATCGAACCACGATGCTCGTCTTCCCGGCTCCCAAGTCACCCAGAAGTACCTACCAAAATATTGGAAATGCCCAGATAAACTGACAAGGATCAAAGAACCAAACAATCAGAAAATTCAGGGTAAGACATACCCACCAGCTTGGCCTGGATAACATCGCTCCCCATCGATCGATCGCTCCTAGTTCGCTTTTACCGCTGCCGTTTGGATCAGGATAATTCAGAATTGAAATGCGAGCAGAAGTGAAGTAGCAATGCTTTTCTTTTTTTCAGTTGATGCAAAGACTGGTAGCTGTCCGCGCATTGGATGGATAAAAAGATGATGAGGAAGCAGAGCAGGAATTGATCAGCAGCTGGTAGGTTTCAGACTTTCAGTTTCTGAAGCTCAGACTGGTAGTTGGAGAGGTTTTGGGCAGCACTAGCAACACACTGCAAACGCATTGCGTTGCCCATGGGCAGTGGGCCGGCTCTTGCCGTTCGGCCCAGCTCAGCCATCAGCGAGTAAAGCCTAAAATTTTATACTCCCTCCGTCCGTCGCGTAATACGGATGAGTGTCTAGATTCGTTGTAACGTCCCATTTAGCTTTAATTTGCTATATTATACGATGGATGGGTATAAGATTTCGATAAAATGTAAGCCAGTTCATTTTAGACATGTTTAGATTGGTGATGATTTGTACCCTATCTATATTTTGGTAGCTTCAAAATAGTACTTTAGTGGCATTTCAATTTATATCATCTTTAGCCTAACTAGTATCAAATTTGGTAATGCCTGACACTACAATATTTTGATAGGGCTTCAAACTAAATGAGCCATTTGACCTGTTGTGTCGGAGAATGGCGTCCATTTTTTGCACGTACTGAGTGTATTATAAACGCATAACGATGTGTTGCTTTCAATGTATTCCCCCTCATCTCAAAATGGATCAAATTTTATTATACGTGATCTCATATATAAAAGTTGATTTGAATTGAAAAGAGTACTACGATCGTCCCAAAATAACTATCTCTCGAGGATTCAAATTTCGTTTTAAAATAGTTGTCACTTTAGAATACCTACCACATGTTCCATCGATCACCCCACGTTTATTCCTATTTTATCTTTAACCACCCTTTCATAACTAACCATACACCATTTAATGAAGGACACTATCATCTGTTTCTCCTTAAACCTTAATCTACACTAAACAATTTAGAATGACAGCTATATACTTTGACAGATGTAGTACAAAATAAAATACTGAATGCTGTACATATGTACCTACGGTTCAGCATCCCTGCGTCAATCGGCAACAAAATTGTCAATTCCTATGCATCGTCGCACCTCAGCAACCCATACATCCAACGGTTCATAGACTTTTGGAGCATTTCTAGCGTAGTAGCTGTACAATACAAACCAGAAAAAGGCTGGTAGCTCGTGACGATGCCTCGATCTCACGCACGTCCCCGTGCCGGAGCCTCTGCCCGCACTCATCTTCCCCAACCCAACCTTTTTGCCCATTCTGACCGTTGGAAGCCACCCGCTTCCTAAGAGCAGGTAAAGTAGCATGCTATAAACCAGCTGCAAACATATTTCAAGAAAATAAATGAGGAGAGAGAAGGACAGCTGGCTATAGATTTGTAGTCAGCTGCAGTACGGACTCCAAAACGTAGTGTGTATATGACAGGTGGGACCAGATATTAATAGCGTAATATGTAACTATTGTATAAATGAGCTATTAGATTAGCTATAGAAAAATTGGAGTTAGTACTTGGCTATACTATTAAACTCTCGGGAATTCCATCTCACCCTGTGCCATTTGTACTCGCTGCTAGAGTTCTGGAGGTGCCAGTGCCAGTCATGGGAGGTGTCAACGTTTTTTTTTTATTGTTTTTTTTTCCTGTCGGTTGCATTTGGCCTCGAAGAGACGAAGATCCTGCCTGACACTTGGGCCACGAACTCACTCTTCTCCTAATCTCCTTGCACGTACTACTGTTTGTCGTCTCATTTCTGTATTTGCAGTCGAGAAATCTTCTTCTTCTGTGGGTGTTCTTCATGGCTGACACCAGTTTGCAAGCATAACTGTTAGTCAACAGTTTTAAAAAGTCTCCTAATCTAGTCTGAATAAAACAGTCAAAGCCGGCCACAAACTGTACTGAATTATACAAAAAATGATCTCTTCTGCATAGTTTTAGTACATCTGGACATCTCGCTTTCTGGAGTATGTACAATAGCTGTAGCGGCAGTGAGATTCATAAGAAAGATGCTCTGAACTTTTATGCCTTCCTTTTCCTCCTGCACTTGCCTGTTCATGCGAGAGAGATTCACAGAACAAACAAGGTTAGGCGAGTAAACCGAACAGATTAGTCCACAGCTAAACTTAATTAATAGTAGAAGATATCAACTGATTCGCTGGAAGCTGATCAAACTTGTGTCTCTGCCAAGCTGTTCTTAACAAGGAGTATTGCAATAGAAGCCATGCTGTGTCTTGCTGTCCGTGAGCTTTCATGGCGTGTAGCTTGATCTGCCAAATGGAATGGAAAAGGATGCAACATCATGCCGTGGGTAACACCTGACAATGTATGAGTAATTAGTAGTCCGTGAAAACCACTTATGCGAGCTAATCGATTGGCTGTGTCACGCGTGAGGTTAAGTAATCCTATCCACTTGAGTGTTGCGGTGGGGATGAACTGTTGCTGTTAGTTAATTTATTTACACAAGTTGAGTTTTACTACTAGAGCTAACTGTAGTTATCATGTTAAGCTAATTAATTAGTCCAAAAGGTTTTAACTGCAACCTGTACTAGCAGAGATTTGACGAGACAGGAATGTTTCTTGCAAAGGTTCGCGAGAGAGAATGTTCAGTAGTTGACTTTCACGTGAGAAATACTCCATCCGTTACAAGACGTTTCGACTTTGATCAAAGTCAAACTATTTTAAATTTAACTAAGTTTATAAACAAATATAGTAATATTTATAATACTAAATTAGTTTCATCAAATTAATAATTAAATAAATTTTCATAATAGATTTGTCTTAGGTTGAAAATGTTACTACTTTTTTCTATAAATTTGATCAGGCTTAAAACAGTTTGACTTTAATCAAAGTGAAAACGTCTTATATCCTGAAACGTGGGGAGTATATATTTTTTTGTCAACTTCCAACTTGAAACTGTTTCGTATCAAATGCTTCAAAATGTCAGTGTTCTCAGTTTACCTCTTCCGAATAACAAAATACTAAGTATATTGAAGATTAATCATGATAGTAATTAAGATGCAATTTAATCAACGTGTTCACCTTCAAGATTAACAAAAAAAGCAGCAGTATTTTTCTCATCTTTTGTGACCTGAAGCAAAATATCGGCTGCAACGGGTAATTTCCCCAAAGATTAGGGCTTCAAATTCGAAATTCGGTTGGTTGCTTTGTGCGGTAAACTTTCGCCTGGTTTGTTACGAATCCTCCCTCTTTCCGCTGCAACCAATCCTCACCGTCAATTTCCGATCGGACGGCTCGTGATCGCCCTAGCTGGCCAAGCCATACCTGGTTTTCGCCTTCTGTTGCAACAGCTCACATCGATTCTGTCCACCACCACCTCCACTTCCTCCTCCCCCACAACCGCCTCCTTCCCCTCCCCCATTGCTCCCTCTCATCTTCTCCTCCTCGTCCTCCTGATGATTTAATGCCATTGGAAGCTTCGCCTGTTGGGTGAAGCGAGGCGGAAGGGAGAAGAAGAAGAAGAAGAAGAAGAAGAAGCTGGGAGGAGGGGAGGAGTGGGGGAAGATGTTTGGCAGCCTGCTCAACTCCAAGTTCTACAACAAATGGTGAGAAATTGCTTCTTTTCTGCTTGTTCTTTTTGGTTCTTGGGTTCCTAGGGTAGTAGGGTACGAGGGTTCGAGCTCAGCTGAGTTCTTATGGTCCAATCTGGTTATTTGAGGCTCTACTTTTGGGGTTCTTGGTTCTTGAATCCTCCCCGCATGGAGGGGCGAACTTTTCGCCGGGTGCGTTCTTGGGTTTCCGGGTTCTTGCTTCTTGTTTTCTCCTAGGTTCTCGAGTGGTTCTTGCTTCTTGTTTTCTCCTAGGTTCTCGAGTTCGTCAGCTTACGCGTTCGGTCCGGATTGGTTGATAGATTATTTTCTTGGATTGCGCGAATTTGGGTTACAAATTCTTGGGCTTGCGATGGATTTGTTTGATTCCACCTTGAAAAATATTGTTTTGAGTTCATGGAGAAGGTTTGACCAATCGTTTCGGTTCTTGAACAATGGATGCAGCAAGCACGCATTCAAATGCATTCGTACGCGGCTGGCTCTCATACGGCGGAAGAAGCAGGCGATGATTCGATTCATGAAGAAGGACATAGCCGACCTCCTCACCAATGGCCTCGACACACATGCATTTGGACGGGTAAATTTATGTCGGTTAACTCATTCTTAACCGCTGCATTGCATTGTTCTGCTGTTGAAGGATTTTGGGTTCAAGGGGAATCGGAGAAAGTTGCACTCTTGCCCCCTTTTTTAACACAGGAAAAGTTGCACCTTTTTCGCACATGGTTTAATGATTAATGATCAAATTCTGGTCATTTTTGTGGTAGAGGAAACATGCGGTGACTGAATTGCTGATGTTGTATTTTGTATCTACTTTCCTCTCTCTTGGAATGCAGATGGATGGGCTGATAATTGAGATGAACCATGCTTCTTGCTATGATATGATCGAGCAGTTCTGTGAGTACATTGGTAAACAGCTCAACAGCCTACAGAAACAGGGGTAACTAACGATCTGCTTTGATTTCCTATTTCTTTTGTCAACCACTAGCAATCATTGTGATGCTGAAACTGTCTACCTAAAAACCACAAGTTTGTTGATACCTCGATAGAGTCATTAATGCATCCTACATTGTTTAATTGGTTAAGTAATCAAGCCAACAGAACAATAGCATCCGGAAACATATACAATTTTATTATTGTTTGGATGATTTAGTTTAGTGTTAACCAAAGCATCATCTTTTAAAGAGAATTAAAAAAATTGTTTGAGAACTTTGCTTGGTCAATTAAACATTACTACTTGTATAATGTTAGGAAGAGGAATAAACAAAATGGATTTCCATTTATCTTGATGACAACAGTTGTCAGTTATATCTTTGCCTTTTCCTGACAGGGATTGCCCCCAGGAAACTCGGGAAGCTGTGTCGACTCTAATTTTTGCTGCTGCTCGGTTTCCAGATTTGCCAGAACTGTGTGACCTTAGGCATATTTTCACAGAGAGATATGGACATTTTCTTGAGCCTTTTGTTAGCCTTGAGGTGTGCTACTGCCACGAATTTGCTGTCATTGAATTGATTAGTGGTGTACCACTTAACATGATCTATAATCCTAGTACTTGCAGTTTGTTCAGAAGCTGGACAATAAAGTGTTCACTAATGAGGAAAAGATACAAGCCATGCAAAGTGTGTCTGAAGAACTATTGGTTGATTTTGATATCAAAGCATTTAAGATCAAACTATGGGCCACTCCAGAAACCAAACATGTACTATATGCTTACACAAACTTGTTCGAATGAATTTACACAATCTATTGGTTGATGTTTCTTACTTGGCATCTTGGGTTGTTTTCCCTTAGGATTTGCCTGCAAAGGACTCAAAGAAACAGGTAGAACTGGCAGTGCCTTTGTCCAGCAAGAAGGGGGATGATGCTGCTCCATCAGGAAGAAAATCTGAAGCTGCTACTCTTGGCCACAAGAATAAATTGGAAGCGTCCTTAAAACAACAAAAGGATGTTCATCCTGTTGCTGATGGCATTGACCGGTTACGTGAAAACACCAGGAGACAGCATGCGGATAAATCTGATGGTAAGGGGCATGTGGAGAAACCAGTGTCCGATTCAGAGATGAAAAGAAGGAACATTCAAAAAGAAGTTCAGAAAGCTAACAAAAAAGATGTTCGCCCTTGCGAAAAGGAACTAATGGAAGCGGTGGAGCTAGACCTCAATGGCCTGCCTAAGAAGGAATTTGGTTCATTGAAAGTTCCTGAAGCAGAAAGCAAGAAGACATTTGCACTAAATGTCAAGCCTAAGAAAGACAATGATCTTGAGAAGGAGAACGAGAGCAACCTTGGTCACCACCACAGATCACATATTCCTTGTGCTGCTGATCATGCAGATTCAGGTCTCAGAACCCTTGGCCTAGATAAGCAGGGGCTTCAATCAGTGAATCCTTTGAATGGTAACACTAAAAACAGGATGCCTCCTTATTCTAAGCTGGATGGATCTACCGGCAAGAAATGTTCTGAAAAGGAAGAGAACACTGGTTGCTTGAATGCTAGACCACATCATTTAGCAGATAAGGGGAATCCAGTGCAAGATAGACAGCCAGTGCCAGAGAGGGCAGCTTATGTGCGACCTCCTTACATCAAACCAAAACTCAACATGGAAACAGTGAATGATGATCCTGCAGAGCGAGCTGCTAGTGACTACAGCAAACGTGCTATCCCTGAACAAACAGATCACCTGTCTGACAAAGATCCTCTTCGACCTGTTTCTGTTAGAAGTAAATATGCCAAGCCACCTGCACCTGCTGCTGTCTATGATGAGGCGCCTGCCAATGAAAAGGTTTCAAGCCGAACACCCAGTAGTCACAGAAGACACACAAGCAGGCAGAATGCTGTTAATGATGGCAGTGCCCGGAGAGATGGGTCTAGACAACCTCATGGAGGCAAAGGAATGGATGATGTTAATGGAGAGAATGTTCAGAGAACTCCTAGTAGCCGGCCAAGGCACTCAGGCAGGAGAAATGGAGCTTTGTACACCGAGGACTACGATGGATTCATGCAGCGCCATAAATCAGAAGAGGATGAGGCTGCAATTGACTTTGGTAATCTTTTACCCAGAACTGGAAATGGCCATAGGAGACACAAAAGCCGCAATACTGATGCGCGCAGTGGAGTTGATGAGGAGGAGAGAATGATGGATAAGCTTCTGAGGCACTACAGCAAGAAAGGTTTAGATGCGGAAATCAATCCAGCTCCAACCAACAAAGCAGAAGAACAATCTGAGCAAAAGGGCTCCATGCATCCTCCAGGAAGAGCAATCTCACTGCCAGGGGAATCCGTCTGCCGCGATGAAGATGTGAAGTTTCCTGCCCGGTCTACCTCACTGCAGCCGGACTGTCCCAAAACTGTACATGTGCACCCGAAAATGCCTGACTTTGATGAGCTTGCTGCTCGAGTCAGAGCTCTGAGGAAGGCCTGAGGTTGCACTAGATTGTCCTGAGCCTGTGCACAAGTTCAGAATTAAGCCGTTCTGACAGTTTCTTCGCTGCAACTTGCAAGTCACTCTACCTTTGTTCTTTCTTGATATGTGATTGGAATGATTTGTGCATGAGTTCTCCTTTTTCTTTTTCTTTTCAATCTATATGTAGGTTTTTCTTGTTATATAACATTTTCTCTGTACCAGGTGTTTGTCTAGATAGGACACTGGTTGGAGGATTAGCACGATACAGTTGATAGGGGTTTTCAGTTTGTTACTAAATTCAATTAACAGGGATTTACTACATTGTAACATTGAATTGAATTCATTGATTAATTGAGTGCTCCAGAGAATTATATGCATGATTTTCTGTGAAAGAGTTGCTGAAAAAAAGTTACAGTAATTCTCTTTATCCTTTTCCCTAACTTTTTCATGATTCTGAATTCTTGTACAGGCACAGACCTGGATACATCCGGCTCTTCCCAACTCATTGATATGCGGGGAAGGGTTGCTTCTCTATTGCTTTACTACTAGTTAAACACATGTACTACCATTACAATGCACCACAGTTTCTTTTTATTTACGTCTCACAAGAAGTATTGTTTTGTTTTGTTTATCCTGTACGACTTACTATGCAGAACCAGCAGCTCGTGCCGCTGTAAAGTGGGCGCCCACAGTGACAGTATCGTTAAACTGCTCCTTTCTACTACTTCCTCTATCCTTAAATATTTGACGCCGTTAATTTTTTTAAAAATGTTTAAATATTTGTCTTATTCAAAAAATTTAAGTAATTATTAATTCTTTTCCTATCATTTGATTTATTGTAAAATATACTTTTATTTATACATATAGTTTTACACATTTCACAAAAGTTTTTGAATAAAACGAACAGTCAAACATGTTTAAAAAAGTCAATGGCGTCAAACATTTAGGGAAAGAGGGAGTACTACTGAGTGATTGGCAGTCGACATATGTTGGACATGAACAGATATCAGGGTGCAAAGAAATGGTGCTCAAATCGCTGCAAATGCATGCTACACTAGCTGTTTTAATTATCAAAGCCACGGAGAACGTCGTATCCCCCCAAAAATGGAGCCCAAATCGCAAATGCAGATCAGATATCAATTCATCAATACCGGTGCTATGCATCTAATCTAGCTTAGCCGCCTAGCTATGTACTCCAGCTAACACAGGCAGCGCATGAAGCCGACGACGAAATGCGCGATGAAGTTGTGGTCACCCCCGACGAGCATGTCGTCCCTGACGAGGCGCTCCAGCCCCCGGTTCCTCGGGAGCGCGCCGGCGCGGTGCAGCACCGTCGCCACCGCAGACGCCGGCCGCCTCGCCACGCTCGCCGCGGCGCGCACCACGGGCCGCAGCAACAACGGCAGCAGCGACTGCAACATTCATATTCATATATCAACACTACATTGCAACAGAGATTGAACACATATGCAGGCAGAGGAGTAGCAGCAGTAATCTCACCATGCGCGAGATGATGATGGAGATGGCGGTTTACGATGATTTTCAATTGCCAATTGGCAATGGCAGTGAGAGCTCGCTCCTGATGTTGACAGATCTCAAGCTCTCTGATCAACCTCTCATGGATGGACCTGCACATATATACACAGCGGGCGATCGATCCATCGATGCGGCGCAACGAGGCATCGGAGATCACATGGAGAGAGCGAGGAGGAGAAAACGGTTGGCGACGGGTGCAGCAAGCAAGCAAGCTAGGGGCGCGGCGCCCACCGTGTCCGTCGTCCGTGCCACCTGCCGTACTACGGACAAGAAGCGCTATCTCCCAAAACCGATCTATACTCTCATGCAGCGCCGCCGCCGTCCACGCCACCCTATACCATCCATCTCGCTTTCTGCACCCATTTTTGCAGGCTGTGCAGCAATCTGCTCCGCGTGTCACTCGCATCACTCGGTTGGATGGCAAGCTACCAATGCTTCTTTTTAACCTTTTCTTTTTTTTTTCCTTATCTAAACTCTAGATGGATTATAGATAGATCATAGATGGATGATTCGACCGGACGTACATGTACTTATCCAGTACTCTCTCTCCATTTCAGGTTACAAGATGAGTTTAACTAACTCTATAGAAAAAAGTAGTAATATTTGCATAGTTTCATTAAATTTATAATTGAATAATTTTTTATTATATATTAGTCTTGGGTTAAAAATATTACTACTTTTTTTTTATAAATTTAGTTAAACTTAGAGTAGTTTGACTTTGACCAAAATCAAAACGTCTTATAACCTGATATGAAGGTAGTACTACTTACGTCCATACGAATGTATACGATGATTGGTACTGTATGTACGTATTCGTTTGATCGATGAAAGCCAGATATGTATTAGAAGTACAGCGTCACATGTGGCCAACGGACCAGGAGGCCCAATACAAGATGGTCTAGAGAACTTAATGGGCCAACAAACCAAGGCCCAGCCCAATACAGCCACAATCATGAGATTCCCATTCGCAGCCGCGACCAACCACTACACTAGGCTAGGCTAGCTATATACGCCTCTGCCTCTCGCGTCTCCCATTTCCTCGCCTTTCCCTTCTTCCATCTCCTCCTCGTCGTCGCGGCGCGCGAGCTAGGGTTTCTCGACTCGCCCTCGCCGATCCGGTCAGCCATGTCGAAGCAAGGTGAGTTCCTTCCAATCGCGATTGGTTCCTGCGAGATCTCGCTGACCCTCGTTGCCGATCGATTCGTGCGGGGTTCTGATGATTTGTTTTGTGGGGGTGGGTTTGATTTGCAGGAGGGAAGGCCAAGCCCCTCAAGGCGCCCAAGGCCGAGAAGAAGGAGTACGACGAGGTATGCTGCTGTGCTGTGTGACCTTTGCTCCCGATTCGTGGTTCCGTCTACCGATTGATCGTTTCGGGTTAGGGGTTAGCGATCCGCGCTTGTGTTTTGACTGTGCAGGCCACCGTGTTGTAGATCGGTTCGTGTCTGGGGTAGTTCATAGTGGTTTTATCCTTTAGTTGGTTAGTTGAAGGTGAATTTGTAGAATTATCATGCGCGATGCTGTTTGTCCTTTAAATCTGCGTATTGACTTGTGGCCTTGTCCTCAGTTAGGGATCCGTTCGGTTAATCCCCACGAGGAAGGGACTGGAGGGGGGATTGAGTAGGTGTGGAAGTGGAATCAATCCCCTTAAATCCCCGTGGCGGAGGGATTGGCTGATATGCCATCATATTTACTTACATTCCTTGGATATGTTGTGTTAGGGGGTTATTAACTTATTATTGGATAATGATTGTGTTAAAAGCTTGTTCTGTTCATGAAGTCCTAGTTTCTAGGGCAAATTACTTTCTTCTAACTACTTTGTCAACATGAAATGAGCAACCTTATAATATGTTTGATGCTAACCTTATAATATGTTTGATGCTATCATGTATGGAAATCATTTGTTCATGGTCTGGAATTGTGTGCTTGATGCTTTCACCTTTTCTCACCTTGCAAAACTGACCTGGTTGATGATGTTTGGAAAATTTGCATTCGGTAGCAGTGTAGCATCAACTTATCTCACCTTCTAAAATTGTGCTAGCTGTTATTTTTGGGTGATGTCCCCAGTCACAGTGAGCGTATGGTCTTACTTGTCCGATGGGAATACAAAGAATATGATCTCACTCGTCCTAAATTTCTTCTATCTAATTAAACTTAATTTGTCTTGATATACTTCTATGGGTTTAAGTTGTCTTGAATGGATCATTAGTCTATGCTTATGGTCATCTTAATTTTCAACTGAACTAAGACCTTAAAGGCTTTGAAGAAATGAGCATGTGTTCAGTGTATGAGCCTTTGGCTTGATTTGACTATTGATAATTGATAACAAGTACTACTAGTATTTACTATTGCTTGATACTCCAGTTCCACCAGCTTTCTTGTGAAACATAATCTACATCTCTTGAAGGGGAACTGCATTGCTAGAAAAAGAAAAATAGTGGTGCTTTATTTTTTTTCCTGGGAATAACATGTCGCTGCCTGGCTTTATTAGAATCAAGCAGCGCAAAATCAGATAAGCATTTTGAATTTGCTGTTTGTCCAAGTTGAGATGATGTGGCCAGTATAGATTTGGTTTAACAAAGTGATTTGGATGGATGTAATTGTAGTTTATGAATTGTTAATAATGTGTGGTATTGTAAGTAGCGCTTTATCTGGAAAACTAGTGCATATTTGATTGAAGCAATGATGATATAAGGAACTTGAATGGTTAGTTGCAGACTTGTAGTTCTGATTTTGTTGCTTTCTGTAGAGTGATCTCGCGTATCTGCAGAAGAAGAAAGATGAGGAAAAGGTGAGACCATTTACCAAACTTACCAGTCTTCTGTTTTTTTTTTTCATTGTAGCTGGTGTTTTAGTTTGCTGACATCAATTGCATGCATTTCTTGCAAACAGGCACTGAAGGAGCTTAAGGCCAAGGCAGGACAGAAGGGTGCACTGGGAGGCTCTGGTCTGAAGAAGAGCGGGAAGAAATGAGGCTGATACCAATCTGTAATGCCTGAAAAATGATAAACCAGCTACCTGTCTGTGTTACTTCACTATGTGCGGATGTAACAAAACTACCTTTAAGCATGTTATGCATTAAGCAATGTTGCAGTTGGTTGCTTGATCCGAAGATGTTTCGGGCTCTCTTCTGCTAGCTATGATACATCTGGTCCCGTATGATGATAATATAACATAACTCATGGTGAAAATTCCACTTGTTTGCGCTCAAGTCTTGCAGTTTCTTTGCTATATGATTGATTGATCTGATTCTGCCTGTTTCCATGCAAGCAAGCTGATATGCCGTGCTTCCATTTCGGTCAGCAGTTGCTTAACATGTTACAGAATTCTGAACTGATCTGATTCAGTGTTTACGCCATTCCTTAACATGTTAAGAGAGGGTGAGGTTTTTATACAGTTACCGCATCCTAAATTTCTTACATTATGCAAGTCTGAACTTACTGAATTTTCGATCCTGCATACATGGTCATGTCTCGAACTTAACCATGTAAAGCGATCTACTAACAAGTTATGTGGAAGTGTTTCTGTTTGGTCAAATAAAAATGTTTCAATCTGGTGCATTTCTGGTAATAATGATATCCCCATTCCCAATATGAAACCAGACTGCTCATACAGAAACATACTGTGAACCGAATTGAACGATCGTTGGACCAAAGACTGCAGAGTAGTACTAGTATTATTGCCCACGGCCTCAACAGCGAAGCCGCACAAAGGAGACCCAACTCTCATGTTCTCCTGCTTTGTGCTTTTTGCCTAGCTTTCCATGAAGTTTCGCCCCTTCTTTTTCCATCGGAGACCAGATCTGCCGGTGCCAAATATGTTAACGGAAAGGGGAGCTGATCCGATCAGAATGTGATGGGCGGTGGCGGTAAAGTGCAGTGTAGCTTAGGTGGTGGACTGGACTGCATGCACCGGTGGGTGTCGCCTATTGCGACGAGCGATTCGAGCGTGGGGGATCACGGTGGAATGGAATGGTGGATATGCGGCGTGGACGGGACGGGACATGACACCCATCCGGCGGACAGGCGCGAGGCCGGTGACGGCGACTCCGGGGACACGAAAGCTGCACGCCCTGTTTGCCGTGGCGTCCACTAGCAGTTAGGGGGAATCACGTACGATTCGCGAACAGACTCACTGTGCTGCTGTCTACTATTCGTCGGTATCGATCGGGCCCGTGCGTTTACATCCACCTGCAGGCAGAGGCAGACCGGGTTGATGTGCCTCAAGCGTCCTCCTGCCTGTCCATATGGATGGATGGCCATAAGATGGAAGATCATTTGATGTGCCAGCGATATACTGACAGTGGAAGTGGTGTGCTCACTGTCACTGGATAATCACTCAGTGATCAGTCTCATCTTTTAACTTATGCTTATTCTTATAAGTTAAAATTTAAATTTTTAATATTAAATTATAGATCGCTAAGAACACGTATATAAAAATTTATTTATAAATTATTTTTCATTTGCAAATATGCCGTTTCGTTTATTCCATAAATAAATGAAACGATGGCCTCTGATACTTCCTTTCTCCCATAAAAATCAATATTTGTACAGATTTGTTGTACTATAATATGCTATATCTAATTTTAGATTCGTTTTTTCGGGATAGAGAGAGTGCGAAGTAGGATTACTGTACTAGTACTAGATGTCTACCGAATTGTACTACAGTTTATCACTGCTTTACTAAAAGTCCGTACATACTCCATGACGCTCAAATGCTCTGCGAAATGTTCATGGATCTCACAACACAATTGATCAAACCAAACATGCTTATGCAAAGCAAAGTAAATAATCTAGATGATGAGAAACATGTCGATCATCTTAAATTTAAAATAAGACCGGACAGCACAGTATTATTCCACTCATCAAATGCAGTGCAGGGGATGCTCCCAAATCTATTGAGAAGCCGCCGTCGACGTGGAAAGCTCAACGGAGGCGACAACCCAACCACGCCGACGTCGTAGTACCATCCAAGCAGCAACAGCGAACTGATTATTCCTTTCGATGAGCTCCTACGTCTACGTGTAATTAATTAGCCAGTGAAATTAACCAGATCAGCTCACATGTAAGCTAAGGCGAGCTGGTGACTAACGAGTAACCGGTGAGTATATATAAAAAAAAGATCTATCAAATTTTAACTATTAGCTTATATTTTGATTTATGTAGCTACCGATTCTCATAGCCTGAATGAGAATCTTAAAACGTTTGAAGAGGTGAGGATTTTGGAAGAATATATATAACCTACGCTGCCAGAAACTCATCAAAACCAAACATTTATCTTTAGCAATTGACTATTGTTACACAATACTCCTTCCGTAAAAAAAAAAGCTAATCTTCAGTGTCATAAAAAAAACAAACTTTAGTCTGAACAAAATGCTACTTAGCGCAAGTCAAATTTACTATATAAAACGTCGCGTAATTACTATATAAATGATTCTACTACCCATTGTATCTCTCTTTCCACTTCAGCGGCACGAGGGATCGGAGAAAAGGCCAAGTAGGTGACGACCAAGGGCATCGTGCCATCATGCGGTAGCATCATGCTGCTGCTGGTGATGATAAGTAGGGTTGTACTACTAGGAGAAAGCGAAAGGCCCAGAGATTGATTGGTTTGGTCGATTGAAAGGATTATTTGATCCATTGGCAGTCTTATCTTTTCGCTTACACTTTTGTTTATCAACTAAGATTTAAATTTTTAACATTAAATTTGAAGTTGATTTTGAGGTTTTTTTTATCGAAGTTTATTTTTTTAGCACTTACTTTTAAATCGTTAAGAATACATATATAAAAGTTTTACATATAAATTATTTTTCGTTTGTAAATACGCCGTTTGGTTTATTCCCCACAAACGAGACAATGGGGCCGTTTGGCCGGAGCAGAGAGTGCGAGGTGTCTAGAGCGCCACTACCTACACGATTCATGGCTTTGGCCATTCGCCTTCTTTTTCTTCCTTCTTTTTTGTCTGGTTGATCTGATACAACCTGTGCATTGAACCTGTCCGTGGTGTGCGTATGTATCATCGTCTGATCACCCAGTTGACGGTGTAGATAGCTATGATCTCATTGCTTGCTTTCTGATTGACCATATAGATGCTCATTTTTAGCTTTGGGTACTGTGGAATAAGACACTGCAGCAAAGCTTACTCACTGTGAGGCTACCTTTGCTTCCTGATCAATTTAACATGCTTTATTATTAAGATTCTATAGGTAGAGTACAAGATTCTTCCTAGGGTTCACAAAAACGATGGAGAATTGGTATTCGACCCACAACCGTTGGTTATCGCTCGAGCTATATCAAATTCGATCGGATCACACCAAAACGGTTATAGCCGGTTTTACTAACCCTGAACTTTCTTCTTATGAGTCACTAAAACCGATACATTTCACTATTGCATCTCCCAATTATGTGCAACCTACGGTTTCCAATCTGTGAGTCAACTGAGAAATGTGTTCATCACAGATTTCCAGCAGCAACAGATGGATCACCCACGGATCGATGGCAATATAATGGCAGCAGAGGATCTGGCCTAGGGGAAGGAGATGCAGAAAAACAAATGCAGATTAATTTGCAAAGCAACGCAATTAGAGGAGGAGAGGAAAAAATTTGGGCGACGAGGAAAAGATGGCTTAATTGTCGCGTCCAACAAACAGCACACGTGGGTCACACGGACGGGTGAGTGCAGCCCCCACTCCATACAGCGCCTCCATCATTCCCTTCCCCACATTCCTTGATAAAAAGCCTATTAAACTCCAGTGATTTCACATAAAGACACACTAGGTTTTTGGTTATTCAAATTTTGCAAAAGCAGAAAAGGAGCCCCTTTTTTGGGGGGATATTTTTATTCTCTCCTTATTTTGTCATTTTCTTTTAAACACTTTTGTAGTTGTGTAATGGTCATTGGGTTGGTTTTTTTTTTTTCACCTTTTGTTTTTGCCTTGGTCATAGAATGTTAAATGTAGGCTAAACACGAGGGACACTACGATAAAAGATATACATGAGTTACAGGTTGCGCGCTTTGTCAATGAATCAATGTGTCTATTATTTTTACGTCACAATGAACAGAACCTGTAATATACTCTCTTATTATAAACTAGCATGGAGGCCCGCGTAATTACGCAGTTAGTATCGTTATTTTTTCTCATATAATAGCTTAAATATTTTTATATTTTATTATTAAGGTATATTAAAAATAGCAACACAATTTTGAATTTTGTATTGTATTAATAGTAATTTATTATTTTCTAATATCGAATTTACTTATTTCTAAATTATATTCTTATATGGACTCTAGACTCTTCTCTCCCAATCATGCTTATTATTTAAAATTTGATTTGAAGTTTAGTTATTTATAAATTGTATTTCTATATGGACTCTAAATTCTACTTTTAATTTTTTAATTCTGACTTTGAATTAGTTTAAATTCCTATATGAACCCTATATTATTCTTCCAATATTCTTTTTTTATTCTGAATTTCTATTTTTATAAATTATATTCCTATATAGACTTTAAGTTTTTTTCAATATTCCTTTTTTTAATTCCAAAATAAATTATATTCTTATATAGTCTGACTCTTATTTTAATATTGCTTATTTTTAATTTTTAATTTTAATTATTTCTAAATTATATTTCTATATGGACTCTAAACTGTACTTTTTTTTTTCTTAATTTTGAATTTAAATTTATTCTAAATTTCTATATGAACTCTAGACTCTTCTTTCAATATTCCTATTTTTTAATTCCGAATTTTTGTGTTTTTCTAATTGTATTTCTATATGGACTCTTGTTGACGTTTGATGTCTCGACTATAGTATTTGCATGGCATAGGGATCGTTGGTACTAGGATATACGCGAGACTGAGGTAAAAGAGATGGAGACAGGGATTTTTATACAGGTTCGGGCTCCTGAATTGTCAGGTAATAATCCTACATCCTGTTGGCCGAAGCTGGTATTGCTCTTATTCATGATAATCACACTAGTACAATATTTGGGGTAGCCTATCTAACTGTTGTCGACATGGCGGTCTGACGATCTGACTCGTAGTCGACAACAGGGTAGCCTTTCTCCTCGAATCCGTGCCCGGCGAGATCAGAGATAGCTCTTTCGTCTCTCCTGACAGTATCCGGAAACACCGTAGGGGACTAGCCGTGCTTATCCCTGAAGTCGATATCCGGCGGTGTGTCTTGGCGTATGTAGGCTTCTATGTTGTGGCTTCTATGTCGATTGTGTTGGGTGTTGATCCTGTTGGGTGTCGATCCTCTCCTCCTAGGGGAGCTTGTATTTATACCCATAGGTGTCCCCTTGTCTAAGTAGAACTAGGGAAACCAATATGGATACAATCCGAGTAGTCCTTGTTGTTTCCATGTAGAACTCTGGTTGTCTTTCCTTATCCGGAACTCCCTCCATATCCGAAGTCAGTTTCCGTATAAGACATGGTATGTGGTGGGTCATGCCGAGATTTAGTCAACTACAGTTAGGTATGTGGTATCCATAACCCTGATAGTAGCCCCCCGACTTCAATGCAAATGAGCGAGTTCATATTCTCAACCGTAGACCTTGGAGGAACTGTTATCGAGCTCTTGTGACCGTTCTCGGTGAGTTCAGAGATAACGTTAGACTTCCTTTATCAGCCTCGTGCGGGCACCTAAAGGGTTTGTCTGAGTCAATCTCCGACGTCAACCAAGAAAGTACAGAGCATGCGACTAAGTCTCCCGTCTTGCTGTAATCGAGAATTTGGATTGATGTCAATAAATTTTATCTCGGCGGGTACACCATCTCTTCATTCCGTATTCCTTGTCGATATCCACCAACCGTTCTCGAGAAGGCGCAGAGTCTGCGACAGAGCCTTGTCAACATTTGTCGTACTCGCCTTAGTCGATCTTGGTGTAGAACCATAGAGCCATGAAGTCTTCGACAATGTCGAATAGAATTTTCCTGGAATCAATACTCAGAAAAAAATATTAGATAGAAATAGCTCCCGAGCGAATGCTCAAAGGGTGACATGTTATAGAATGTATAGAAAACTGAAAATGAATTAAATTTACATACCAATGTTTTGTATATGAGCGTCTACTTTTTTACCGACTTCGATCAGTCAGTTTGTTGAGTTATACACTTTCCCTAGTCCCCAGCCTTGTCATCGGAGAATCGTTCTCGGAGGATAAGGCTCTTGGACCTTTGACCTGCCTCGGTTGAACAAGCACTGATCCTAGCCCCCAGCCGTGAAGTTGGAAAATCCATTTCCGATTACACGGCTTGGTTAATACGCACGGCGAGAACTCTTACACGACCAGATCTTACAAGATCTTTCGTCTCTGAAGGATCCGACATAGCCTTATCCGCTCTGGGCGTCCCCAGCCGAAGTTCCCTTAGGTTCCTCAGAGGCTTTGTCAAGATGGCGTAAAAGGACATTAGGAAAGGTTTCAACACTAGGTGTCTTTGTGGTAAGGGATCTCTGGGTAAAACACTTGTTGAAGTAGAGGTAATGGGAGAATCGCTACACCTCTGGTCAAGAACCGGGTAGTAGTCGTAACTCAACCACTAAAAGTAATTGTACGAGAGATCGCTACGATTGACTGGTTGAGAACTAGTGAGTAGGTGTCCCTCGATCATTTGAAGTCGTGGTACGAGGACCGCTGCGTTATTGCTGTAGTCGTACCTCAACCATCTGAGGTTGCGGTGCGAGAGATTGCTACGGACTGGTTCGAGGACCAGCGAAAGTGTAGAATTATCTCTCGAACACCAATGGAGGTTGCGGTGCGAGAGATTGCTACGGACTAGTTCGAGGACCAGCGAACGTGTAGAATTATCTCTCGAACACCAATGGAGGTTGCGGTGCGAGAGATTGCTACGCACTGGTTCGAGGACCAGCAAACGTGTAGAATTATCTCTCGAACACCAATGGAGGTGCTAGAGTTGGTTTATTACAAGTGCGTCTCATGTGGCCAGCATGACTCACGCACCCAACTTATAGCATATCCGGATGTCCGTTCGCAATCATGTCGGGTGATCAAGCCGACGACATTCACGAGAATTATCCGTTAACAACCTTTTCTCGAGTAGTCCAGCCATGGCCGGTGCTATGAGATAGGTCGTCGATCTTTGTTGGTAGGTTGGGCGCGACGACTCTGCATTCGTCGAGATCGTTCTCGATAATGCGGTGTACTCGACCATAACCTACTCGAGTGCTCAATTGTTCCTGAAAAATATTTTCTAGAAGACAAGATATATAGCAGAGAATATCGGGTATGCACTGAAAAAACTGCATGAATCTTCTAGTATTATTAGGACATAACGAGCAGATGTAAATATCAGGCATTATGTAAACCGTAAGCAAGCATGATTCATACAGAAGAAAATAGAGCGAGCCCCCAACGTTAAAGCGTAGTCGATTTAACATCGGGGACACTTGCACAATAGATATTGTATAAAAAATATGCTCTAGGTAAACATAATAAATCATGGATCTGACAATGCTGTATGATCTGAATAGATACGATAAATTACAGATAAAATATTAAATACCTGTGTAGATATATGCCGGACATATCTACGAAATTAATAGGTTAATAAAATTAATTAACCTACTAATTACCTTAATTAACCAACGTATCATGGCTCTGTATATACCAACATATATTTATTCGCACACGTACAGGTGCTCATAGAGACGTGTACGTGTACTGTATTTATGGGTGTTGGTCACGGTACAGTATTTTTGACTCATGCCACGCGATGTCAGGCCTTGTAGTCGTCGCGGTTGCCTGATCACGTCGCGTGTTGTGAGATTGATCCGAGCTGACGAGCAGTTGATTTCTCCGAAGTCCATCATTGTCCGCTGTTGAAAATCGGATTCGATGTAGTCGTTGGTTGACCTGGCCGAGGCTTCCCGGTGGGAAACATCAAACCGTCGTTATCCCCGGCGGCGACATCTCGCGTTATCCCCGGCGGCGACATCTCGTAGATTGGTCGATCTCGCCGGATCGACAAGTTAACGGCGTTGATTCCGATCTTGTCGGGGGCATGCTCCGGTCAGGTTAGATCTCCCCATAGCCGAAGTCGTTGAGTAGCTTATTGTTGGAGAATCCATCTCTTGAACCCATCTCGTCGAAATCCTGAAGCACCAAAATTCCCCTACCTGGCGCGCCACTGTCGACGTTTGATGTCTCGACTACAGTATTTGCATGGCATGGGGATCGTTGGTACTAGGATATACGCGAGACTGGGGTAAAAGAGATGGAGACAGGGATTTTTATACAGGTTCGGTCCCCTGAATTGTCAGGTAATAACCCTACATCCTGTTGGCCGAAACCGGTATTGCTCTTATTCATGATAATAACACCAGTACAATATTTGGGGTAGCCTATCTAACTGTTGTCGACATGGCGGTCTGACGAGCTGACTCGTAGTCGACAACAGGGTAGCCTTCCTCCTCGAATCCGTGCCCGGCGAGATCAGAGATAGCGCTTTCGTCTCTCCTGACAGTATCCGGAGACACTGTAGGGGACTAGCCGTGCTTATCCTTGAAGTTGATATCCGGCGGCGTATCTTGGCATATGTAGGCTTCTATGTTGTGGCTTCTATGTCGATTGTGTTGGGTGTTGATTCTGTTGGGTGTCGATCCTCTCCTCATAGGGGAGCTTGTATTTATACCCATAGGTGTCCCCTTGTCTAAGTAGAATTAGGGAAACCAATATAGATACAATCCGAGGAGCCCTTGTCGTTTCTATGTAGAACTCTGGTTGTCTTTCCTTATCCGGAACTCTCTCCATATCCGAAGTTAGTTTCCGTATAAGACATGGTATGTGGTGGGTCCTGCCGAGATTTAGTCAACTACAGTTAGGTATGTGTGGTATCCATAACCCTGACAACTCTAAACTTATCTTTTAATATTCTTTATTTTTTAATTCCGCATTTCATTCTTTTCTAAATTATATTCTATATGGGTTATAGAATCTTCTGTCAATATTCCTTATTTTTAATTCTAATTTTAATTATTTTTAAATTGTATTTCTATAGGGACTTTGACCTCTAGTTTTAGTTTTCTTATTTTTTTAATTCCGAATTTCAATTAGTTCTAAATTATAAACCGGTATGGACTCCTGTCTCTTTTTCTATATTCCTTATTTATAATTCCGAATTTTAGCTGTTTTTAAATTGTATTTCTATATATACTCTGTTTTTTCTTTTACCCCGATTAATATAAAAATTTCTAAGCCGTGAGAGCGAACGTGGAGGCTCATTTTTCTATTCCTTTAATAAGTTAATAGATATTTAACGTTTATAATAAGATTTGTTTAAACCTTTACAATTTTTTTATTGGCAATAGTTTCTCAAATGCTTATTAGACTTTGCAAACTTGATTAAATACAAAATTAATAGTCAAAGTTTTAAAAGTTAAAGTAAATCTTATCCTAAACATCAAATGTTTATGATTCGGGAGAGTACCCAGAAACGCTCCTTTTTTCTCTAAGAAAACATACACATGAGCAGTCAAACACTTAATGATACTCTCAAATTAATTAAGTTGTGTGACAGTTTTTTATGTCACTCTTTTAGATAATGCCATTGGTATGATCAAAAAGCAAGGGTTCATCCTTTCTGGTCAGAAAAAAGAACAGACAGGGTCAACTTTAGAATACCCATACAACCCAAGGTGCATCATGCATAATTATGGCCTAATAAATCAAGCAGAAAACCCATCTCTTTCCCCTCCCTCACCTCAATTATAGCACTGCCTCTCCTCCAAGCTAGCAGCTCAGCTAAGCTCCATTACTACCCAGCTTCTCCTCATCCCTCTCAAGATCAAGAACTCATCAAGAAGCCTGCGACCTCACCGGAATCAAATCGTCAGTGGCGGCGTGGTCGCTGTGACGATGGAGAAGTGCAGGTCGGTGCCGCACGAGCACTCGGCGGCGTACTACGGCTGCGGCGGCGGGTACGACTACGAGGACGTGAGCGGAGGCGGCGGCGGCGCCGCCGCGAAGTCGTACAGCTTCAACGGGCCAAGCGCCCGCGATGACCCGGAGGCGAAGCGGCGGCGGCGGGTGGCGGCGTACAACGTGTTCGCGACGCAGGGGAGGCTCAAGTCCACCGTCCGGAGCAGCTTCAAGTGGATCAAGTCCAAGTTCTCCGACATCCGCTACGGTGGCCTCTGAACTGATGAACCTACCCTGCATATATGCATATATACATATATATGATAATATATCTATCTATGTATGTATACTGCTACATATATGATACAGACTTGCATGCATGCATAGCTAAATTAAGTTGAAGCTGATATGTGCATGTTTGAGGAGCTATGATGAACTGTGTGTGTGAGTGATCTACTGATCTTGAGTTGCCTTATGAAGTTATGGTCAACTGCCAGATCGGTGCTATGTGTTTTCACTTTTTTTTTTGGGTCTTATGAGTTGAGAAAGAAGAGGGGGAGGAATTTGAAGAACTTGCAGTGGTTGTATCCTGCTTAATTTGCAAATTAAGTTGTATCAACTATCAAGCCATGTCCTCTGTTTCTGTTTCATGTTCTCCTTTTTTATTTTTTTTCCCTTTCATATCTTCTGTGGTTGAAAGCTAGCCATGCCATAATTGGATAGTTTCTGTTAGATATTTCTTTCAGCCTTTTTATTTCGCACCACAAATTGAAGAATCAACAAAAAGGGGAAAATAACTCATATGAGGATGATTCATGTTCAACATTCTTGGACTGTAGAATACTAGAAAGGTTAAAGATCATCCAGGAACCGAATAGAAAAAAAATGGTGATTATTGAGCTGAAGGTTCAGTCTCTGCAAATTCAGTGGATGCTCAGTTGTAAAGTTGAAACCGCAGTGCTCCGTACTAGTTAGTTTGGTTACAGACTTACAGCAACAAAAGCAGATAGAAAACCTGAACAATTTCTGCTCATTCCTCCAGTTAATAGTTGCAATATCATACTCCCTTCGTCCCATAAAAAAACCAACATAATACTGGATGTGATATATCATAATACTATGAATTTGGACATACCTTTGTCCAGATTTATTGTATTAGAATGTGTCACGTCCCATCCTAGATTCGTTTTTTTAGGACGGAGAGAGTATGCATGATTCACATTTCGCAAAAATCAAGTTGAGGAGATCTATTCCGACATGGATGCTGACCTGATTCTTTCCTGTCTGCCCATCCCGAATCCTGGTCACCCGGTAACTGTGATGGTCACTATCTGGGTGATGTGTTTCGCAGCTGCTGATCTTGAGGTGCAGGTTATTGAATTTATTGACCGGGGCACAGTCAAAATTCTCAGTGGAATTCGTAAGAATTTTAGCAAAATTCGATGAAAATCGAGCGGTTATCGCAATAACATCTACTTAACCGTGCAAACTGAAATTTCAATTACTTCGATATTGTGCTGGAGGAGGCGTTGACGATGTTGCTCAGTTGTTTCCTGGACCCTGAAGGAAGCATTGGCGGCAGTGCCATCTGATTCTTTACCTGATAATTGCTGGCTTGTATTCATCTTGTCCATCATCGCCGGCTTGTACGTCTTCGGCGGCCAGAAGCTCGCCTATTCAGCTTCAATCTAAATTCAGATGGCTTAGATTACGCTATGAAGGGAGATTTGCAATAATGAGCATGATCCTCAAACATGCTTTCTATCCATGAGACCAACTAAGAATGCAAAAAAGATCATATGGGCACATCTCTCACTCTTATAATCACTTTAGAGAACTATTACATGTGATGGGCTATGAAGATTAACCTGGGTCAATATTACAGGCACAGCCACTTTGTAGCTTTGGAACAACAGTTCCGAACAATCGGAGTAAATGCGAAAAATCATCTGACAGGGAACTAAACCACCCTTGCAGCAGCAGCAGCAGCAAGTTAAAATCGAAGATTCAGCAATGGTCAAACAGGATCCACCCAACTAATCTAACCTGCAATCCTGTATTGAGAACCAATTCATCAGTTCTTTGTCAAGAATCTACTATTATTTTTTTCAGCTTGACCTTCAACTAGATCCTGCAGCCCTGTGGCAGATCAAGCTCCTGACTCATGATATCATGAGTCTTTGACCCTTTAACCCATCTCAATGTCAAAAATAATGATCCCAATCTCCACTCCCAATGGTATTTCACAAACCGACTTCTTTACACAAGGAGCTAATGTCAGGGATTATTCCTCCTCCAGAGTTTATAATAATGGAATCACCTACGAAATCCTTTAACAGGGCAGAAGGATCCTTAGCTCCACCATGCTTCAAAAATTTGTCCCTAAGTGCACTACCCGTGCTGCGGGATAATGGATCACCTTGGCATACTTCTTGCCATATAGTTGTGGCAAAACATCTAGCATAAAGATAACTATAGTAGCCTGCAATAATGTTGAAATAAAGAATAGCAGTTATACTTTATGAAAACTGAAGCTTGAAATTTTCTTGAACTATAGAAAGCTTACCAGCGCCATAATTTATCAGATGAGTAAATCTAGTATGCCAGTGTGTGCCTTCTACACATTTCCAACTTGTATGCTTTCTCCTCAAATCAGCTACAGTAGAAATTGTGTCCATTGGCTTGGATCCTTGCTCCCCAAACAAAGTCAAGTCCATTATAGAATAGAAAATCTGGGGAACGGAGGCACAATAACACAAAGTGAAGAAACAGCACATTGGGACATACAAGGTCAAATCCAATTGTTAAGGGTGAGAAATAAGAAGTACAAAGAAAAACAAACCTGACGCTGCAGCTCCGTTGCTGGAAACATGTTCCGAGAAGCATTAAGTGCCTTTACCAACTTTTCTGGTATTGGATCACCAGTTGTTTCATCTACAGCAAATTTCCTCAAGACACGATAATCCCATGCATAAAACCTGCAATGTGAATTGAACTCAACTACTGATAAAGAAGGTAAATAACAAATGCTGCTGTATTTTAGATAAGCCAGAATTAGATACCCTGCGGGAGTGTTAATGGATAAAGTTTTATTTTTAGCAACAAGTCATACGTACTCAAAGAGGTTTGATGGCATTTCAGCCACATCAAGAGCAACTCTAGTACCAGAGAAATGTTGATACTCCTGCAAATATCATTATGCTGGCAGATAAGCAATCCTGGAGTCATTGGAGAGACCTAAATATTATAAAAAAGGACAGCAAAATACCGTTCTTGAGAGTAGAGAATGAAGGGCATGGCCAAACTCATGAAACAGAGTTTCAACATCCCAATGGTTAAGCCTTGCCATTATTTTGCTCGAACTTGAAAAATTGCAAACTAGAGCAACGATCTGAAAAGCATCAGAATGAAGTGAATTGGTGGCGTGAATCTTAGATATTATCCTTGTAAGGATCATTTAAATGCTGTCAAAAGTTCTTCATCTATGTTGAACAAAGAGAATAAATCTAAATAAGGCACACAAGCCTTAGGCCTTGTTTAGTTCCAAATATTTGGGCTAAAAAGGCTGCAAAATTCTGCATTCCACATTTTTTAAAACATCCAAAGTACTACGGAAATACAAAACAATCCTAAAAAGTAGTTCAACATTAATGTTTGGAAATGCCAATTCCCTTGTTATTCATGAAATAAAAATATACAAGAGAACATACTGGAAGCTGGTAATTTGAGTCTTGCAATCGTCGCCCCCCTCTGATAGCAAAGTGAGCACACCCTGGATATTTACCCTTTCTGGAGTACAGATCAAGATACATAAATCCTAAATTGCCCTGCTCATTAAACATGTTTTCCTTTGGTTACTTTGCTGCCAGTAAAATATAAATTAAGAAGATGCTCTCAACAGTGGGTGCGTGATAGTAGTAGCAACCAAGATCCTTGATTAGACTACCCCTTAGAAGAATTCAATTGGTCATATATGCGTTATAAAGAGATGGACTGATAATTGTAATCCAAATATACATTTTATTAAGAAAATACCTTTGGGTCTACTAGTTTTGAAATATTTTTTTTGCTCTGAATAGCATAACATTTTATGATATCTTACATAGTTAAATGGCATTGGTGATAAATAATTTCGTAACAGATTCCTGTCATCATACTTCTAGTTGTTCAAGTTTACGGTATTTACACTATGCGCTAATAGGATACGAGTACATGACCAATCGGACAAGGCCAACTCTCCATCATTATTATGTATTACTAATCAGTAACCATGGAATGCCAATTTTGTTCTTTGTCTACTTGGCTATCATTCAAAAGTTATTTCTGGTGTTTGCTGATTTTGATTTTAGTAACAAAAACAAAGTAGTGTGATTGATAATCTGGCATGCTCATTTCGAGAAAGGAAACATAGTGATTGTCATGCCCCCTAATGTTAGCGTATTAGAAATGTATCCGTAATAACAAAAGTTCAAGCATGTAGTTACATGCTTTTGTAGAGTTAGATTGGGTAAGATGCAGTAGTTTACTATTTTTTTATATAGAACTAATAAACTAAGCTTAACACAATAGTACCTCATCAGGATGATGGAGAGACAACTTCATCACATCTGGATGCCATGACTCGCCGTCCCCCATAGGAATTTGATGAAATGTGGCACCAAATAATGATTCCACCAGCACGTTTAAGCCCTTTAGGCACTGGGACAATGGAAAGTATGCTGCAACCACCTGTTAGGTATTTCAAAAATGCCCAAAAGGGCAAAATTTTAAGTATGCAATGATGTTAAAGGGATCACCGCACATTAACTTTTTCATTGACATATATTAAATTAGAAAGTAATTGGGTACTGTGTTTTTTCTTCCCCTCATAACCGATTTAGTCCACAAGCACCAATTTCGGTTGTATTTGGCTTGTGTCAACCTATGGTGTTGAATTTACATAAAGATCTAGATTGTGATCTAAATAACATGTTATAATTTATAAAGTAGTTCTACTATATTTTGAAGTGCATCCCCACAAAAATTAGCACATACTGAGACATCCAGGTTATGTACAGCTGATTTCATCATTCCAATGAAGTAATCCTCATCCCAGGGTTCAAGTTTAGCACTCTTTTCATTGCATACATTTCTCTTGAAGTCCTGTATACGTTTAAATTCCTGCAAAGAGGTAACTATCAACAGAGAGAGAGACACTGGTAGGATATAATATATCAATGCATTAATGTCAAACTACCCTAGCACTGATGAAGTTCACTCCCTTGCATACCTCACCAGCTTTATGCCTAACCACGCCACTCAAATCTTTGAGAAATGACATCACGACATCTACAGATGCAGCCATGTTAGGACGAATAGCAAAATCACCATATGATTTGCATCCCATAGTCTGGAAAAAAGGACAAGAATAAGAAAACAGTCTAGCTTGTCCTGGAATAGCAGTAGATACTGAAAAATATTCAGTCATTTGCCCGTAAGTTACTAATGTGATAAATACCATGGTATTTCCTAAACGAACTTAGAAACTCAATTAGGTAATTTTTAATTTGGTTCTTCCAATTACAAAGTTTGGGAAAGAGGAAGCACAACAAATATTGGATTTTTTTTATCAACTTATAACATGTGATCCAAATAACAACTCAATTAGATTAAGAAATACAACTTGCACTATATATCCAAAGCACAAATACCAACAAAATTTTGGGTCTAATTGGTCCCAACAGGTAAGATCCAAGCAAAATCATTTACAAAAATGTATACTGCAGGCTGCAGCACATTTTACTGCAAAGGAAGAGGGCAGGCCACTGATAACTCTCACTGGATCCAATGATGTGAGATAAGAAAGTTTAACATGTCACATCTAGCTTAGATATTTTGCTAAAGGATAGACGCAATGAGGCCTATATAGGTCATCCAAGGCCTTTGGAAAGGAAGGTTTGATTCTGCAATAGTCAAGATCAAGCACATTGGTATAACACAAATAAACTGCATCCAATAACTTCTCAACTAAATCAACAAACTGGTCTTCCATTGGCTGGGAATATTTTCCACATAATGCCAACTCAAATTTATCTCCTCAATTACATGGTTGAAACCTTTTGAGTCAAGATACCACATGACCATATCCTTCAAGCAATTTATCAGGTATTGATGCATACAAGAATGCATGTTAAACATGCTATTTTAGTAAACCTAACCATAGCTTAACCCTCATCTTCTCTGTATTACAGACCATATCTAGTTGACAGTACACCATGGAGTGTAGTAAATCATAAACAAATCAAATTTAAAAACAATGGCATTATAGCATCTATTTCCTTCAAATAAATGCCCTACAATAACATGAAAAAAATTACCTTCGCAAGCTCGTCACGTGCATTTATAAGCTTGCCAAGAACTGTAATGTTTTCACGAGGTTCAGAGTTTCCTACCAGGTATACCTGTTTCCTGATCTTTGGAAAGTTTGGAAATGTTAGGTTGATAACATATAATACATTGATAATTAATGGTTGGTGAGTGGAATAAAGGGAACATACTTCCTCATCTGAGACCCATCTCAGTGCTGTTGATAGAGTTCCTGAATCAGTGACTATCCTTAGACCCTTTTGCTTTGTAGTGTCCATTTGATTTCTTTGTTCCTCATCGCCCCAAGGTTTAATACGGTGAATGGATTTAAAATGGCGTTGCATATTTCTTGGAATGCGCGAAGCTGGATATATATCCACAAAACCTGGTTTGTTCATAACATTTTCACTGAACCTGGCACAGAAAAAATGAGTAAGTTCACTAGCAACAAGCAAATTTATACATTTTAGAACCTCAAATCAACAGGCATGGCATTAATTACAATTCACAGAATCAATTCAGTGAAAAGAAAGGGGCGGTAGGGAAATGTACTGGACAGGCAAAGAAACAGGAAAGCCACAATGGAACTGTGCAGTTAAATGGAAAAAAAAAGTAAAATTAATAGATATCCTTATAGCGATCAGAATGCCATTTGAATGAGAGACCATTTACGAATACACTTATAAGCCACATGCATATTGTGTGTGTGCAAGGAGATTCAATATCATTTCTCGCATTTCTAATGATAATGGAAAAGAGATGGGAAATAAATTGAACAAGTGCATCATTGAACAGATCGATATACACCTTAGCCTCATACTTAGCACTAGCAGTCTGTGCATAAACTAAACCATTTATACATTAGTAATATGATGATGTGAGGACTACTAAGAATTATTTAGTAGGTAATATGATCCCGCTATTTTTAAGCATTGTAACAGAACAGCTATACAGCAAATTAGCAGGCAGTAAGACAGCTTGACACACATCCCTATAGACTCTATGCAGTCAAACAAGCTAAATAATGATATATTTTCAGAACAGAAGCATCTCCCAAGGGTTAATATGAACTCAACACCATATATGTTGAACATATATATCTTACCAACAAGCAAATGTCACCAAATAATGAGATCGCTTGCTGATAGTAAGTTGCAGTCTGGCAGACATGCAACTGGAACAAGGAATGCAAAGCTAATATGAAAAGTTCAACAAAAAATAGTACAATGACAGCCACTGTCTATTATACAATTCATGTACCTACTTTCGACCCAGCTGGGCAATCTCAAGGTTCAGATGATTAACATGTTCGAGTTTATCTGCCATGGAAGAAATTATACTTTTAGCAACACTCAAGTGGAAAACAAGAAGCACCAGTATAACTCTAGTAGGCCAACCTTTAGGAAGATGAATTCCCCCTTTCTCAAAGTCAACACGCAAGGTGGTGGCTGCCCTTCGAGCTTCCTCTGTGAGCATGACACCTTCGCTCTCAGCTTTAAGTATTGCATTGTACAAAGTAGTATTGGTATTCAGATACTGCATAGAATCACAGGGAAAAAGGAAATTTAATGGTTCTGACTTGGTCATTTCACTAAGTTCTCTCCCTCATTTTTTCCTCAAACCAACTATTTCGGTATGCAACATCCATGTTATCGAGCTTACTTGAAGATGTTCATAAATCCTCATTGATGCCTTATCTGCCTCATCCATAAATTCCCTGGCACAGAATACACATGTAATTGGCCACTCAAAACTAAAACACATTGCTCCAGAGTATGATTTTCATAAGAAGCAACCAGTAACCAGTGTACACTCACTTATCTGGGTGCGTATTCCTGCACAGCTCTGCCGAATCAATAACTGAGCAGACCTAACCAAATCATCAAGTATAAAACGCACATCACTCCCTCAATACCAACTCAAGTACTAATTCCGCAAAAAAATCATTAGCAGAAGAGGAAGTAGGCTACAGTGTTCGATATCTCATCCATGGCGCGGACAATCTCCGCGGACGGCGGCAGCTGCCCGATGTAGGCCACGAGCTCGTCCGACCTGCGCGTTTCAGTAAAATCTCAGCAGCCAATGGATGGCTCCAGCTTCCAGATGAGTAGGTTGCGGTTCAGTATCTCCACCCCTTACCTCTCGATGGCGTCGTCGACGAAGCGGCGGAAGCCCTTGGCCGTGCGCAGCACATCGAAGCCGTACAGCCCGGTCTCCGGCCTCGCCGCGGCGGTGGAGAAGGCCGCCGCCGCGGCGCGGCGGAGAGAGGCTGCGCGGGAGAGCATTGCGGAGGCACTCAGTTGATTCATTTCGACAGCCACACGTCTCCAGAGTCTAGACCTCGCCGTCGCCGCCGCCGCTGCTCACCGGAGGAGCATGGGCGAGAGGAAGGGGATGGGGTTTAGTGAAAGTGAATGTAAAATTCAATTCTGTGAGGGACCTTTATGAGAAAATTCCTTTCGCCATTCTCTCCTGGATCTATCTTGGCCGCCTACGGTTCATCGAACGGTTAAGACAAGTCCAACGTGGATGCGAAAAATATTCGCAGGGTGTAAACGGAAATACAATATTGTATGAGGGCTTATAGGGAAAACTATCCCTCTGGGCTTTACTCTCCTCGGTGTGGGCCGCGTATTCTTGATCCAACGGATCACAACGAGCCCAACTAGGATGGCTAGGGCTCTCATCTTTTGGCCCAATCAGCATATGCCAATGCCAACATTTAAATTTTTTAACTTAATTTTGAAGTTGTTTTTGAGTTTTTTTCATCATAGTTTCTTTTACAAGATTGTCATTTAAGTCGCTACGAACATAACTGTAAAAGTTTTAATCACAAATTATATTTTTTTTACTAATACGCCAAATGGCGTATTTTCCGCACATAGCCATCGGATGAGGCTGTAGGTTTCGTCGTCAGTGCTTGGCTGAAAATTGAAATCCTCTTTTTCAAAAAGGAAAAAAAACAGAGAGGAAGAAATCCACTCAAAATCGCAAGGCAACTTTTTAGGAAGATCAAATCACAGGCAATTGAAGCTAGTATTGGCAAACTATTTGTGTTGGACAATCACATCGAGAAAATATGTTGAGCAGGAGTAGAAGATAAACAATTCATCCATTACGCTTTGATCAGCACAGGTCTAAGTACAACACAATGTAAGTCTTCTGACTTGCGACATTGATACACAGCAAAACGAATTCTGATCCAAGTACAGAATGATGATACAGCCAATCAACAAACACCGTCACATGTAAATCCTCTACTGTGGCATAAGCGATAACATCTCTGATATGGAACCAAAATTCTTATGCCAATACAGACCACAACGCTAGGAACAAGCTCATCAATCCTGGAAGACCAACTGACATAGTGCGATGACCAGCGTTTTTGCCACCTGATGGAGAGGCTGCAAACAATAGAATTAAGAATTGAGGTTAAAAAAAAGTACTCTGTAAAGTGTTATCGTGATGTTACATGCGTAATCAATTCGAATAAACTTTTAATTTTAACTATTTTACATGTGAGAAAAAGAGGCAGAATGGGATCTTTGTTATCCTTTACTTTGCTAATGCTACATGTATTCCTACCGAAGTAATATAATGCATTGTATTCAAATAAAATGGCTACACTACTTCTTAATTGTAGACACTTAGACCCCACATTAGCTCTATAAAAAAAAGACCCAGTGTTTGCTATCCCTGAACATTGAACGCACGAGTATCCATAGCAAGTCTGGAATTTTGAAGAATTTGATACATCTACTTCATGGCTAGTGTGAGCGTAAAATGCAAAAATATCATCGCTAAATAAACTGACTAACAGCAGTAGGATGCATAAATATAACTCTGTAAGGCAGTCTGATAGACTGTTACTAATAGCATGCCAGATGCCCAGGTCAACACAAACTGTCCGTGTTAACCATTTCTAGCCTCTTTCAATGATGCTAGTTAGCCTGATCACCCATGTTATTTGGTTGATTTGCCGACTTAAAATGTAACATCTTTAAATAAATTTGTTCAGACCAAACTAACTCCTACTTTATGCAGCATTTATTATCTGTCTTAACTGCTATGGTTTTAGCACCATAAACATTTTCTAAACAGGTAGTATCATACAGCAGTGATGAACCTTCAAATCATTGTGCTTAACAGTAGTCCACAGTAATCCTTGGGACCATGTCTAATACATGTCTAACCATACATATTAATTCATTCATCTATTTAATTGGGGTCCAAGTTCACATCAAACTCAAGTTGAGGGATTTCTTCCTACAGATCTATCTGATATGACTTTATCAAAATGCTGCTGCTTCCAGTTGAAATTCATAGCATTAAAAATTATCGGACCAGACAAAAAGTTTCAGGTAGTGAGGTATCGCACATATAACAAGCTAAGAAAATCTTAAGTTTAAATAGCCATGCATACTATCTTCAGAAAGTATATATTACCTGGAGGAGAGTTCGTAGGGGAATTCCCTGCAAAATATTATTGTAGGACACTTATCAGAAAACCATACAAATATATGTATTAAAATTATCTAAGGAAAAGGACGGTTGCCAAATACAACAGATATAGTAGCGAACTGGTGTGACTTCCAAAAAAAAATGAATTTTGTAATGATGTTTGGTAAAAGTTACCAGCACAACAAAACAGTGCTAAACAAATCTAGATTAAGTTTCATGGTTCCATTTCATCAGGTCAAAGAAATTAGCTATTTTCCTAGTTGATTTATAAACATCATCCCAAATGTGAAATGGCTACAATACTATATCCAACGGTAGGCTGAGACTAATCATTCAACTAGTATTATACCCAAGGCGAACTGGTATAATCTGACATCGTTGCGTCTTCAGATTAAACTACGATTATTACAGGACAGGACTGGGGAAGCAAAAAACAGGAATCTGGATGCCTACAAACTTCTGGTCGACCCAAATCATGGAGCTTGGTCTTATATTCACACCTAAATGTTTTTTCTTTGTTTCGTTTTGCCCTGATAGAGACAGAAATGCAAAGCCAACTTCCCTACGCCACTTATTGACTTATGCAACAAAAAGGCAAAAACATTCCTTTACTTTCCCAAATTTGTAGTAATTACCTTTTTTTTTCGCCGGACAAATTTGTGTTAATTACATCGACTTGTCACTAGAAATATGACATTATACATGGCAGTAAGAACAGTTTATGCGGCCGTTTGTTTAAAACATCCTAACCGGATTTATTTCTTCAACCACAGTGCAGTGACTTCGATGTGCAAACCATCATTCCATCAACCAGGCAAACAATGCATTAGCAAGAACAAGGCCTCATATTTATTCAGTGTAGGAACAGTCAAATCATGCTATTTGGGTGAGTTTTTGGATACCAATATTACAAAAATTAACAACTCATGATCGATGCCACGGTGATAATTTCTATCAAAAACAACATATTCTCTCTCTCTCTCTCTCTCTTTTGCTGTTAAAAGAACAAGGGATAGAAGGAGGAGGAGGAGGGTAAAATAAGTTGGTTACCGGGGCACATGCTGGTGGTCTGGCTGATGCCGCACCGCGTGGAGAGGCGGAGGGCGTCGGAGATGTTGATGTTGAAGGCCTTGAAGATCTCCGGCGAGGCGTAGAGGTCGCAGAGGCACTTGAGCTCGTTCTTCACCGCCTCCTTGAGCGGGTCGCAGCACGCCGCCGGCGGCGTGTCCGTCCCGTTCATGTACTGCGCGCACGGCACCAGCTTCGACGCGCAGCTCGGCGTGCTCGGCGACGACTGCGCCGCCCCGCCCGCCGCCAGCGAGATCGCCACAGCCGCCACCATGGCCGCCACCGCCGCAGCCATCCGCGTCGCCATCTGTCTCTCTCTCTCTCTCTCCCCCACGAGCACCGAGCAAAGGTGGTGCCTTTTTTTTGTGTAAGCTCTGGTTACACTTGGTGCTGTAGGTGCGCCCCTGGACTCTGTGAAGCTTTTGCTTTATAGAAAAAGGAGGAATTTTTTTTCTTCAGGTATTTGAGAACATTCAGCAATTGTACTTTTCAGGTTCTGACTGTGTTTAGTTTTCTTCAAACTTCCGAAAAAATCCGGCACATAAAATGTTTGAACACATGCATGGAACATTAAATGTGGACGAAAAAAAATTAATTGCACAGTTTACATGTAAATTGCGAGACGAATCTTTTGAGCCTAATTACACCATGATTTGATAATATGGTGCTACAGTAAATATTTGCTAATAACGGATTAATTAGGCTTAATAAATTCGTCTCGCAGTTTACAGGCGGAATCTGTAATTTGTTTTGTTATTAGTCTACGTTTAATACTTCAAATGTGTGTTCGTATACGTCAAAAAAATTTTTGGAGGAGAAACTAAACACGGCCTCTGTTTGGTTTGGGGATTGGCAATTGGACATCCAGGAACTTTTAAATTTCTACTATATAAATATGTGAAAATTCCCTCCAAATCAAACCAGGTTTGTCAACATTCATCAATTTGGCAATATTAAAAATAAAAAAGGTTCAGCTATTTGAAAAGGACTTTGCAAATTGCAGACCAATTTATGGTCTCCCTCTTTAATGCCGGCTTCTGCTTCTACTACTCTGAATAAAGGTTTGAATGTTTTTTTTGTAATTAAGTTGTACTTGTACACGCACCCTCTGATGATAAAGGTTTGAATGTTTTCTGTAACACAAAAGATACATGTTGATGTTTTAGAAAAGTTTGTGGTCAAACTCTTAGAGGACATGCCTGAATTTTCAACAATTTGCACCGAAGCGTAGACCTAGAATCTAATAACGAAGCAACACAAATCCATCCGAACACCTAGCATCGGATGATTATGTGGTAGGTAACTTTAATTTAAGCTTATAAGCGATGAGTCCAAAGTAGTTGTTGTAAATGGTCATTTATTATTATTATTTGTAAATAAAAGTGCAAAGTTGATAGAAAAACCCTCTATTTCGCTTCAAACTTTAACTATACTATCAGTCTATTACCCCCGTAGGCGGTAAAAACACTTGCTAGCAACTGTATGGAAATATAGAACACGCATTTATCCTTTCCAAATCACATGATTAACGATCAATAATGTCTAGAACAGTTAGTAAACACTACTTCTACCAAATTCTACAACAGCTAACCCAGGACGCTGCTCTGAACCTTCCAGTCAGTTGACTTCTGAATTCTGACCAAGTCTCACCTATGCCTAGAAATTACTCCCTCCGTCCTTAAAAAAAGACAAACCTTGGTTTCCATGTCCAACTTTGACTGTCCGTCTTATATGAAGTTTTTTTATAATTCGTATTTTCGTTGTTGTTATATGATAAAGCATGATTAATATTTTATGCGTGACTTGTCTTTTTAATTTTTTTCATAATTTTTTTAAATAAGACGGACTGTCAAACGCTGGACACGGAAATCAGGTTTGTCTTTTTTTTTTTTTGACGGACGGAGTAGAATGCGAAACAGCATGTCAGCATCATGTGGCGAAGAGACTTCTCTGTTTTTCCCCATGGTTGGAGCACTGAGACAGCATGAACTCCCCGCAACCTCTCAGATAGTCAGATCTTGACTAGAACAGTTGAACATTTTGTTCCCAGACAAAGACTCCAAGGCCCAGTTCAGTTAAAGTTTTTCTTCGAACTTCTAACTTTTTCATCATATATCAAAACTTTTCTACACACAGAAACTTTTAACTTTTCCGTCACATCGTTTCCAATTTCAACCAAACTTCTAATTTTGGTGTGAACTAAACACAGCCTAAAATGTGAATTTTGACCAAAAAGAAACGTCACATTAAATGTTTGGACACATACATAGGGCATTAAATGTGAGAAAAAAAAACCAATTGCACAGTTTACATGTAAATTGCGAGACGAATCTTTTGAGCCTAACTATACCATAATTTGATAGTGTGATGCTACAGTAAATATTTGCTTATTACGGATTAATTAGGCTTGATAAATTCGTCTCGTAATTTACAGTCGGAATCTATAATTTGTTTTGTTATTAGTCTACGTTTAATACTTTAAATGTGTGTCCGTATACTTAAAAAACTTTACACCCAATAAACTAAACAAACTCTTAAGTTCCTTGTGAAGATTTGGACTGAGCATTTGATCAATGTTGCTGAACAACCATGCCTGTAAAGAAAGTGTGAAGATGTTTACTGTACTGGATTCCTCTTGAAGGTTTTTCATGGGATTGTGATGATAATCATGATGATTAGCTCCAAGCAATCATCATGATTAAACCGAGCGTGTCCGAAAACTTTCAGCCGTGGATTTCAGCTACTCATGTTGTCCGAAGCTTCTGTAATGATTCCTTCAGCAAGGGAATCTCCATCATAGTACTTGCCAAAAGAAATGAGCAAACTCCGTCTTCAGGTCGATCAAGTACCTGAAGGAAGGTAGATAAGCATGGTCATTCTTCATTGTATGATATGCAAATAAACAGTGTAAAGAAAACTGATGTGAGTATGAAACCATGAAGAGAATATTTGTAAATTGCAACTGCTACCAACTTGCTGCATTAAAGCAAACATAGTGCATGTTACCATCTGTATTTCACTAAGTGAACCTAGTTCACATGTGTTTTGTGACGGATAGGCCTCCAATCACCAATTCAAGAGTAAAAACTTAATTTGTATGCATTCACTTTACATGATTATTCATCTCCCAACTTGCAGCCTAAAACTGAACAATGGTCAAGAGGGTAGTTCATCCAGTTAAATTTAATTGTAACATTTTTTTAAAAAAAAAATGCCGAGCAACTCAATAGCAGGGAGTGGAGACAGCTACAGGAACCACATATGTAGAGACAACTCATAATCATGATAATTATCAGCTCATATTAGTACTCACATAAGTACTGTATACCACATGGGCTGCATCCAATAAATGTTCATGTTGCCTGCTTGATCAGTGTGGTTTGGCAGTCTCATTAATAGATAGCTGCTATAAGGGATAAAAAGGATGCGGTCCAACTATCCAAGTCCACTATGAACAAGGCACAGCACAATACTGGTAGGTTAGGTGTTGCAGTTCAAGAAACGGCACAAGCAAAAACAACCTGTTGTTTTGCTTCTAATTAAATTAAGGCCTTTCTTCTTTTTGACCCCCATGTGACCATGTTAATAGAATGAAATTATGTTTCCGTCGATTCGTCGGTACTATTGCAAACCGTTTACACAATCAGTGAATCAGAATCAAGGAAATAAGTTAGATACAAAATTTGGTAACTGAAAAATTATATATACGGTAGTTAACCTTTGGATTCATGTAATAAGCTCGATAAACACATGCAGCGTTCCTTATCTCATCTGTGGTACCAGTTAGTCCTGTTAGATCCCGGAATTCTGTTAATCGGGCAAATGAGAAAACAGTAGTTAGAAAATATAACTGAACATGATAAAATGATTAGATGCCGCAATTTCAGCATATCTCTCTAAGTGAAAATTTAATCTCAAAGTGAAACGGGAATTAGCCACGTCATCCAACCAACTACTAATAGTGTTGTAGCAGGGTGCAAACACCTTTTCCTCCAATTCGGTCAAAACACTACGAGGTTTTGCAAGACCTAAGTATCCAGAGGGGAAAACACTCATTCTGAGTGGAAACTACCTTTCCAAGAGGAAGAACACCTTCCCAAAAAGAAAATACCTTCCCAGAGGAAGAACACTTATTCGAATAGAAAATACCTCTTCGGGTGAAGAACACCTTATTAGGGACATTACATAATCGCTAATACAACTACACATATTTTGGACAAGTTACAATTTCACAGGTGTTTTCCAAGGATGAAAGAGAAGGCAAAGGGGGAATTCGAATTCCCAGGAGGAAGAAGACGGTCCAGGACGGAAAATGCATTTTTCCCAAGAGTTCGAGGAAGAGCACTACCCGAACAAGAGAAGATGCCAAGGGAAGATTCCCTGGGGACCACCTTCAACCACTCTCGCCAGCTAGCACCTAAAAGACTAAAAGACCCCTGGAGATGTACTAGAATGCCCCCACAGACGCTGATGTGGCAGGGGCATTAGAGTAAACTTACAAAGACCCACAGGGGTAAAAATGTAATCTCACGTGTACGACCACCGGTTATAAAAGCCAGTCAAAAACCTGTAGCAGGACAAGACATCTTGAATACAAAAGTAATCCTCAAAAGTTGTGTTTGCTGTTCGAGCTCGTTTCTAAGGATAGGCGGGAAAACACTTCTTTCCGGCCTATCCCCGATCTTGTTCGTGACCTAAGGTCACAACAGTGGCACCGTCCGTGGGGACGGAAAGTCTCCATTGAATTGGGCTCAAACAGTAAATGCGACGTTCTCAACGACAGAAGACTGTGCCAGTACGCTATACAGGAGCTTTTGCAAGCGCGACAGCTGCACTCGAGAGAGAGTGGGAAAAGGCAGTGGAAGAAAGTGACTTAGCAAGAGCAACGGAAACACTTGATAAGCTGTGGGCAGAGATGGCCAAGACATCCACAGCAGCAGGAGGTAATGAAACAACTCAAGAAGAAAGAATTGCTGGTGCGGTGGTGGAAGAAACAGGGAAAACACCCATGAGTGATGTAGAGCTTGCTGAATTGGTCCAAGCGCAAGGGGCTGTCATGGTGAGTAAAGGACAATATGAGGATCAAGTGATCAGTGTGCAATACCAGGGGCTAGGGAAAAGCAATCAGATCAGGCAAAAGGAGATGCCCAGGGGGAGAACAAAGAAGGAGAAAGTATCAAAGCCACCCAAGCTCAAGATCTACCACGAACCCAAGCTCCCAGTCAAGTACAAAACCCATCTCAGGCTCAAATTCCCATTCTTACCCAGAATACACCTCAAGCTCAAATCACCATTCCTACTCAGAACCTAGCTCAAACCTTGATCCCTAGCCAAAACCAAATTCCTATTCAAACGCACATTTCTTTCCAGCCGCATATTCCAATTCAAACTCAAAATCCTAACCAAGTACAATATCCTCAAACA